ACTAGCGCCTTCCGGTTCTTTTTTTTTTTTTTTTTTTTTTTCAGAAGACGCGGGTAACGCAACTCTTTTCTGCAATAGACCAAATCAATGATACCAATCTTGCTGACGATTGCTTACTATAGGCACTATACGACTTCGACATAGAAGGTGATCGAATTGCACTGATCCAGGCTCTTCTCCTCATGACTTACTGGCATGAGAGTCTTGAGAACCCAAAAGACTCGCGGTATTGGCTAGATGTGTGTTGGTCACTGGGGGTATCTATTGGCTTGCACCGTGATCCGTCGGGATCCCAAATGAGCCCGCGTCGGAAAGGGCTTTGGAAACGCCTATGGTGGTGTCTGTATACTCGAGACAGGCTGCTCAGCTTAAACTTGCGCCGACCCATCGGGTTCAAGAAGAGTCGCCGTCACAAAGCCGAAGTGCCGGTGGTGAGTCTCGACGCATTTGACATTCATCGCTACTCGCCCGACATCTTGACGGCCCTTCGCGATTGCCCCTTTCTTCGGGATGCGGAAATCCAAAAGCGCTCGGCTATCAACTTCGTGAAGAAATCGAGGCTCTCTCTGCTCATTTCCGAGGTGGTCATGCTCCGTGGTCATGGACGTGATCGACAAATCTCTCCCCCTTCTCCTGAGTCCCCCAATTCCCAAGCAGGCGAGGAATACACAGACTGCTCCTGGGAAGAACAATGCCAGAAGACGCTAGAAGGCCTGCACGACTTATACGCCACCATCGTTACGACAAACCACCCCGAGAAATCAAATTCAGAAATCTCCTCCCAGGTCGGCAGGCTCACATACATTCAATGTGCCTGGAACCAGCTGGAGCTGCTCGCCTCAATCAGCATCGTCCATCGCCAGCTCATGGCCTCCGCGCCTGAGGCGTCCGCCACTCACGCATCCGCCGCACAGAACTGTCAGGTCAGCATTGAGATTGCAACAATAATACAAGACCTGCATCAGGCCAACCTCGTTCCGTACCTTCCCGCCACAGCAGTGGCGCTTTTCGTTCCGGTGCTTGGGACCCTCGTGTTGAACATGAGGTCCGCGTCTTTCTCTCTGCGCATTGGAGCTTTTCAACGGTTCTATCAGTGTATGCGAGCTCTGGACACGCTAGGCGAAACGTATTTCTCCGCGCAGACTGTGAGGCTGTTTTTTGAGGGTATCTTGGGCTGTGGGGGGAGCAGGTTGGCTGATGTGGCCGCTGCTAATCCAGCTTTTGTGAGGGATCTTCTTACGCAGCATGAGGTAGAGTCTTTATTTAGTGTATCGGCGGGAATTGGAGCGAATTAGGAGACTTTCCTGACTGTTTGGCAATTCATTTTATGTCCACTTGTTCCCATCCAGTAATATTTGCCAATGGAAACGTACCGAGTGGTAGTGTAATCACGTTTTACCGATAAAGATAGTGACAAACACGAAAGGAGAAAAAGGAGAAACACAATTGGAAAGCAGATTGAAGAAGGCAAGAGTGCTGTCCAGTTATCAAGTACATCTAACACATGAGAGGCTGAAAAGAAGACCACCCATCCGCATCCGGGGGGAAAAGACTGGGCATAAACAAATAATTCCCCATTGGCCCCGTAAGCTCCTCCGGCATCATCATCGACTCCCAGCTCGAGCCAAACAGAAGACCATCATCGGGATTAGCAGAATGCCCCTCCGACGTGGATACATCGTCGCTCCCGTCCAGCTGCGCACCCATTTGATCCCCTAGACGAGGCTGGACAATACCGTCTGCGGTAGTTTGTGAGCCGTCCTTACGGTTCGCGCACAGGAAGTCGAAAATTTGCATTGCCCAATGACCCGGGTCCCACGACTCGTGGGTCTCATTGAGTACGATTCGACAATTGTCCAGGTTTGCTTGTGCCATATGCGCGACGCGATCGTCATCTTGCTTCATATGTCGAAAGAGAACGATCCCAGCGACAAAAAACGCTGGAAATAGCTCGTGGGGAAGATTGCAGATTTTGGTTTTGGTCAAGAGGGTGACGGCTTTAGAAGCAATGGAAATGGCGGCTGAACGAAGAATGTCCTGTTGGATGGATATCACTCGCGGAAAAATCGCTTGCTGGTTGGTGGTCGGATTGTTAATGTAGAGAAGGAGGATATAGTAGTGATACAGAAGCTCCAAAGTGGTAGAACATGTGAAAGGGGGCGACGCGCTGCGTTTCCATCGCTCGAGTGCGAGGTTCAAATTCGAATGCCATTCGTCTAGTTGCCCATGCACAGTCTCCGAGGTGAGAATGTGACCCCCCGGTCCAAAACGACAATGCATAATGTCTCGCAGAATTATGGACAGACTTGTGATACGGGTCTGGTAGAAAGCATCCTCGTGGCTTTCGTAGGTGAAATCGTCTACGGTCAGCATCCCCGTATCACTTTGCACCAGATTGATACGGAACGGTCGACCGAGAAGCACTGAACAGTAGGTGTCACGAACGACAAGGGTCCACCAGAGTCTTCGCAAGAGGCCCTTGTCGCCACGCGGCGCATTTGACGAAGCGGCCGAGCGATGAATGCCCAAGGAGATGGCAAGGGTGACCCCGAACCCGATCCACGAACAGGGGTTCCAAAAGCTCTGCATATGGGGGCCCCAGAAGCTGAGGATGACTGCGGTCTGGAGGAGAATGATCTTGTCGTTGTCGTATCCCACTTTAAACAAGAGTGCTGCTTTGTCGTAGTATTCCCGACGGGCGTTTAGCCTCGACGAGTATTCTGACCGGTAGATCACTGAGGCATCGCAAAAGGTAGCCCCGATAAAACAAATCGCATGGAGTAGGATCCAGGGCAGTTTTTGTTCCCGGTGGCAGTTTTCCACTTCGCATTTGTTCATAATGGAGTAGTGAGGGTGGAAACACGTCAAATATGCCTTGACCAGATCGTTGAGCGTCCGCGGCGAGGGAAGCCGAAAGCACCCCTTTGCTTTGAGATAGGCAATATCTGCTGTGTCAAGATGCGGCGGATAGATGTCCTGCTGTAGGACTTCCAGATTAGAACTGTCTCGAATATGTTCACTGGCATTGTGTAGTTGAGGACTCGAGTTTTCCGAGAGTTCTTCCAGAGCAAAGGTCAGCGGGGACGGCTCCCCGAGGAGGATTAACCCATATGACCGACCATTATTCTGAGATCGCCAATTGAGAAAGTCTTCGAATTGGGCAGCGAGAGACAGGTCATTCGACGCATCACTAGCCTCCGATCCAGACACCGTGTTGGCCGCCGCCGGGTTGGGAGAAACATGCTACGGGCTCATCATTGACAGGGGAGAATTCAAGTCCGGACTATTGTCTTGAATGTCGATGGGCGTCTTGGCCATGTGAGTCTGCTCGTTGATGCTCTGGTTGTTCTCAACGGCCTCGCTGTTCGGCGGCGCCGGGTGCGATTCGGTGGCCAAAGAAGGGTCTTCTACCCTTCGATGGTGGATCTGGCGCAGGGAGCCCTTGCGGTCATAGGTACCTCGTCGCGAAAGAATCAAAGCACAGTCGTCGTGGTTGTCCATGCGACACCGACTGCAGGGCAGCCCATTCTTCATCGCATCACATTTGACTTTCCGTTGGCTGCATCGTTTGCAGGCTTTGGCGGCACGAAGGCGAGATTTTTGCGAGTTTGCATTTGCAGGACTATGATTTGGGGCCATAGTCGTGCGCCAAACTGGCTACATGAATGCGTATCAAAAACCAAGTGATGCATTAGATTAGGGGTGCCATACCGTAATGAGAGGACGTTGAGCTCTACGAATTGAATGGAACACACACCTCGGCAAGGTCCATACCGCGAAAATGCGGGGGTGCCAAGAATCTAACAAGTAACCTAATCCGGAAGGCGTCTATTAGTTAGTTATCAGGGAGCAATCATGTAAGCCCCTCTAAAATGTGATTCACTTATAGACTACTATGTACTAAACATGCGATTGTCCTGTCGAAACACCAGCAGCGCTAACCGGTGTCTCACAAATAATCCGAACATCCCGCAAATAGTCTGCACGCCTACCATATACCATGCCAAACGGTCCTCGCGCATTGGGCCCATCCAGACCAACCACAGATTGAGAAGTGTCAGGTTTGTTGACTCCACTATCTTTCCGTCTTTGTTCTTTGTCAGACGGATTAGTTGCAGCAACTGCAGGAGTTCGAAACATATCGCGATTAGCCGTGATGGTGGCTTTTCCTTCCATTCCGTCACCGATGCATCCAGCAGTCCAGTCTCGGGGTTGAACCGGGGTAATCGATGTCTCGGGCACGGAATCAACTTGAACAGCTGCGGGGTCGAGTAGAGAAAGTTGAAAACCTGCGGAACGAAGAGAAGCAATAGCGTCTTGCTGAAATGCCCCAAGATACCAACCACGGCAAACACCATCCCCGCAAAGTAGCAGTAAGTATCCCCCACGAACACCTTCGACGGATACCAATTATGGCACAGCAGCGCCGCCGAAACCCCCACAAACGGCAGCAAGAAGTAAATCGAAAACAAATGCGAGTCCATAGCAGGGTGCGGGAAGGGCGTGATTGGCGCCAGATACAACAAATCATTGGCAACCAGTAACAGCGCAATGACCAGTGACTGCGCAACCTCCACCCCGTTGATTCCTGCTAGCATGTTGATGGAATTGGGACAGAAGATTGCGACAGCTGCCATGTAGACGTAGTATAGGTATCCGAGGTCGAGCATGTCGCCTAGGTAGTGCTGTAACGGTGCCGGTACTACCACTTGCGTGACGCCAAAGTCGACGAAGTAGACGATAAGCATGGGGATTGCACCGAATGCAGGGATGAGTACTTTGTGTCTCCATCTGATGTCAAGGAGGTCATCTCCAAGGCCTAGAATGACGATGCATTGCAGGGAAAGGAGTCCTGACAAGTACGATGCAAGCTATCACCAGTCAGCGAAAGCAACAGAAACATACAAAGAGAAGACCAACCCTTCCGTGTGGGAATCGATGCAGATATCGTCCAGTTTCCACATGATGAACTTCTAGAACAACATCACGATTACCGCCTCCAGACGTAGCCGCAACAATGTCTTTGTAGAATGCGAAGGGGATAAAGAAGATGAGCGCAAGAAGATATACAATCGCGCACACAGCTCCCATTGTCTCTGGACTAGCCAAATCATTAGCGCTAACGCTTTGTTTAACTGGACGAAGTACATACATCTCCGGCTTTTTCGGCTTTGCCATATCCTTCCCCTTCAATCCAGCCTTCATAAATACCGGTCCAAGCCATCGGATCAGGCTATACGTAATCGCAAAGGCAACCCCGCTGAAAGCAACCGATGCAAATAATGGCGCGCCATCACCGTCACCGTAACCCTGGAAGCTGTTTACCATCGTACCCATACAAACTCCCGCAAGTGCCAGGAGACTCCAGGTCTCCCGGTGGGAAAGAGCCGCAGAGGTCATTGTGCACGGAACGCATTCAAAACTTCTCCCTAATCCAGGCCTGATGCCACAATCCGAATGATCATATCAGGCCCAAATCCAAATAGTTTATATTATTATTCCCAGAGGCGTAATTGCAATCTGGCTGAAGGCGACGCAATAATAATTCTGCCGGGCACGCACTCACCGCCCAAGCCTCTTATGCCAGTTATGCTGCACTAGCCCCGAAGCGGAGGATGGAGCTAGAATTTGCTGAGTCAGCCGTCTTCTGCAACAACTAAGATTATCCGCTTCCTGTCGCTTCACTCATTCATCCTATGCATGGGCATTTACGACCAGTGAGCCCTTGTTACATTACAGTGCTCTGCGCAATCGGTTGAAGTTTGCAGCTGGTCGGAATCTGACACGTCGACTGGTGCGTGGGGTCGTGCCGAACCGGCCGCAGAGGAATATGTCTGGGTTCATCGACTTCGATGCTGGACATCGGGACCTGGTTACCGTTACCAAGTTCAACTTTTATGGGAATCGCATCGTTACTGCATCATCTGATCATCGCATGAAGGTGTGGGATCAAAAGGATGACGAATGGCAGTTGGTAGATACATGGCGCGCCCATGATGCGGAAATTCGCGATGTAAGTAAACAAACCGCCAACCCTGTTTTCAATGTTTGGTTTGTCCTTATGTTAAGACTTTGACAGGCTACTTGGAACGGCCCGTTTACTGGTCAACATATTGGCAGTGTGGGTGAAGATATGAAGTGCAAGATTTGGCAAGAAGATGTCACCCAGCCGCCAAATTCGGGCCGGCGGTTCAGATCCATTTTCAGGATGACGGCGCCAGACCGACATCCATTTGTCTCTATGGACTTTCGCAACATTGACCTTGAGACTTGGTTAGCTGTCATCACCCGGGATGGTTACTTGATGGTCATGGAACCTGTGAGTCCTGACACGCTTGCCGATTGGCAACCTGTCGACCAGTTCAGAGTCTGCACGTCGCCGCAAAGAGGCGAGGAGACAAGTTTCAAGGTGCAGTTTCATCACGACCCAACGGATATCACACATTCCGTTCTGCCGAGCTCGGATCGTAAAGGTCTGTCGCTCGTGGTAGCCGCCATGGACACGGTCAAGATCTATCGTACAGACGCCAATCGTCGCTTCTATCATGCCATTGAGCTGACCGGGCACGGCGGACTTGTAAGGGATATTTCATGGGCCAATGGTTCTGTTAGAGGTTATGACCTTATCGCCAGTGGTTGCAAGGACGGCTTTGTTCGAGTATTCGAGGTCTACACGGCTGTCGCCAAAAATAATAATAACAAAGATAACAATGTGTTGGATAATACTAGCAATCATTACGCAGACAAAGCAACACAGTCACCGTCAATTCGCGCGACCTCGCAGTCTGGAATCGGGTCAGCTCTGGCCAGCCGTCCGTCAGAACATACGAGTCGTCCAGCGACAGGGGTTTCGCCATTCAAACACTCCTACAGAGAAGTTGCCTACATTGACAGCAAGCATTTGGATGTGTGGCAAGTTGAGTTTTCATATGCTGGTGAGTATTCTCTTTCCCTATTCTCGTTCAGAATCTTCTAACATAAGAAGGTGACTGCCTTATTTCCTCTGGCGATGATGGAGTTGTACGGTTCTGGAAGAAAGCGTTGACAGGAGAATGGCTCGAATATGCTGAAACCGACATGGCATATCAGTAGCTATGTCTATATTTGTCCGCTTTTCTATATACTGCCTTCGTGACAACGCTAGCGTTTCGTGGGTATCTGTTGAGTCGGTATATGAGTACTGTGGGAGGTTTATATTGTCGTTTTGTTCTGATTTTGTTGCATATGATCGTGATACCCATACACAGTAATTGACCCGCGAGATCGATAGAGAAACTAACTATTTTTAATATCGGAGTTGAATTTATGTTCTTTCTGATGCTCTTCGCCGTTTCCCCTTTTGGAAAGATCCTGTCATCGTTGCAGTTAACGAGGCAGGAACGACTGACAAGATGGTCCTGCCTTACCATTTGCGGCAAGTGAGGATGTCTTTCTCCAAACCTCACCAAATATTGTTCTCCATCTTCCTTTGATGCACCTTAATTGAAGCATTCTTCAACATTCTTACCCCTGTGATGGCCGTCTATCCTACACTCGGGACCGGCCTATTCGTCGGGTCTGGTCAGGCCCTGGCGGCAGGTGGTCCGCTATCCTTACTTATATCTTATGGATTCCTATCGTTACTCGTTTACTGCCTAGGAACCGCGGTCGCAGAAGTCGCTGCCCATATGCCCACCAGAAGTGGCACAATGGTGAACCACGGCTACCGATACTCGTCCAGCCATCTCGCGTTCTCGATGAATTACCTCCGTTGGTACTCCCTGGCGATGCTTGTCCCCTTCGAAATCACAAACGGAATCGTCAATCTTGGCCTATTCGTCCCGAATTCCAACGTCGCTATCCGAGTCACTATCATGACGGTTTTTATCCTGGGCTTCAACATGCTCCCCGAGAGAATTTTCAAGAGATCCGAAGCGTTGTTTACAGGCCTGAAGCTCATCACGACTGTTGGGTTTTTGGTCATGTCGATTGTCTTGGGCATTCGAGGAGTTCCTGGCACCGATATACGAGGGTTCAGTTACTGGATGGATCCGGGGTTCATGAACCAATACCAGGTCAGCGGGAATACGGGTCGGTTTTTGGGGTTGGTGCAGTGTTTGCTGTACAGCACTGTTTCGTTCACGCTGGTGCCGGAGTTGCTTGTCCAACGAGCGGAAGAAAACGATGCGACCGTGCGTCCGAGCATACTTCGAGTGACTCAAATTGATAGCGTCCAGCTTTCGGTGCTGTATCTTCTTAGTGTGATAGCTGCTGGGTTGGTATGTCCGTCTGACCATCCCATGTTGACGAACAAGGGCATGGGTGCTGGATCGTCACCCTTCTTCGTGGCCGTCTTGATTTCTCGGATTCAGATTCTGCCCATCGTGGTGACCATGTTGATCCTTCTCTCGGCTGTGGCCTCCGGACGCTCGTTTCTCTTCCTGGCGTCACGACTTCTTTACTCGCTGGCGGAGGAGGGCCATGCGCCCCCGGTGTTTAAACGTCGCAATCGATTCGGAGTACCATACCTTGCCGTGATCGCATCCGCGTGGTTTGTGGCTTTTGCGTATCTATCTGTGGCGACGTCGAGCTCTGCGGTGTTTAACTGGCTGATGCATTTCCTCACGACATCGGGGTATATCTCGTGGTTAGGATCGTGCATGATCTACCTCCACTTTCGGTGCACGGTTGAAGAGCAGGGGTTTACACGGGCGCACCAGACTCGGATCCAACCGTATGGGGTGTATTTTGGGATTCTGACCTGCAGCGTGTTGCCATTTGTGAACGGGTTGATTACGGCACCGTCTGACACTGTCCCCAGCAACTTGCTTTCGGCGTACCTGGGTATTATCAGCTTTGTTCTCTTGTACCTTGGGCATCGGATCAATTCGATTATGCATGAACAGGACTATCAGATTAGCCCTTTGCGAAGGATGTTATTTTGGAGGCAACCGGAGCGGACGGAGGAGATTGAACTGGGAGAGCGACGGAGGGAGGATTAATTGTTAGGAATTATTTGGTCTTTTGTTGTCTGGGACTTGTAGAGAGATATTATTATAGACTGACGAACACCTGAATCCCACGTGATGTGTCCAGTTGTTAGTATACTCCGTACTCCATAGAGATCTCGTCGGTACGTACCCGTAGTCATAGCTGGCAATCGGGCAACCAAGAGGCTGGGCCAGTGATGGACAAACAAATCAGCAAATGTCAGTACTAGTTTGTTATGTTTATTTTGCTTTATTGTTATTACTATTCTGTTTTTCAGTTGTGACTGATTCTTGCCTGATGACTACCATGCCACTCACCTGATATGCCTCTTTTGCCTCTTTCTTCCACTGACCACACTCTCTCAGACACTCCCTTGCTGCTTTCTTTTCTCCTCCATATACTCTCCATGCCCTCTCAACTGTGACCAGTTTTCCAACTCAGAGAAACAAATCACTCTTATTCTCTATTTTGATTCTTCATCCCATAATGAGGATATTCAGGTCCATTTTTGTGCTCACTGGGATCGACCAGGTTTTTCACTGACTCTTAGCCATCGGCCACTGACCCTTAGATGTGTCCTTGCTCTACAGATACACCCGGTCTCTAGCTAACCACTGTGTCCTCTACCACTCTACTATCACTTCATCGTTCTCTCTTCTTCTGTTATTCTTTTTCTTCTCTCGTCTTTCCCTCTTCGTCATTTCTCATGTGACCTGACCAATTTTTGGACTATCCCGCATCCGGACTAGCGTGGTACCTCCACCTGCCTGATGCGAATAGTTTTCTGCCTCAGATTACCGGCAGGAAGACATGTGACTTGACCCCTCTGATTGGTCCGTTCCCCGTCCCCTCTTGATGCGGCCAAAGAGAAAGGAATGCCTCAATGCCTTCGATAGGGGAATGCGAGTCGACAGATGAGAGGACAGCAGTACAGTATTGTTGTTCAGAAGAGTGAAGAAAGGAAAAAGAAGTGAGAAAGTGAGTAAGAAAGAGAGTGGCTGCTAATACTACTGCGCTGCTGCTTGGCCGGCATGGCCCATCCGTGGCTTTAGCCTCTCTCGCTCTCTCTCTCTCTCTCTCTTCGCTTCTTCCCTCTTCCCTCTACCCTCTACCCTCTCTTCTGCCTTCACTTTCTTCTCTTCTCCCTTTCCCTTTCCCTTTTTTCTTCTTTTATTCTCTTAATTCTCTCTTCTTAATTCTCTTCTCTGTCGCCATCTTATTCAGCATCTTCTCTTCTCTATCTCTTCTTTCGTGTTTCTCGACTACCCGTTCCTCTCTCCCCCTCGCCATCGAATCGACTCTTTCTTCGAATCCTCGACTCTTTCTCTCTTCTCGTCCTCTTCTCTCTTTTCTTCTATCACCTCTTCTCTTCTCTCTATCTCGCTCTCTTCCTCTCTCTTCGATGCGACTCGTGGTTTCTTCGACCTCCCACTCTCGTGCGCTCTCCCGTCTTCGACTCGTCTCTGCCGTCTCACGGTCGCTCGCGCGTTAAACAACGACCACCTCAAACGATTCAACGACTCGAACCCTCCTCCTATATTCGCCGCGTTCTCTTTTCTCTCTCCCTCTCTTCTCGACTCTTCACGCCTCGTTTTTGTGGGAGATACTCTTGGGAGCAAGGGGAGGAAACACTAGCTCGAACCTTGTTCTAACTCCCTCGTGCGATCTTCTTCTTCTCCTTCTTCTTCTTCTTCTTCTCTACCATCCCCTGGAGGTTTCTTTTCTGTGGGGGTGCTTTGGAAAATACATGTGTTGGTGTTTCAGGAGATTCGAGGGTTTCAACAAAAGGCCTTAGGACACTTGGACCTACTCGTGAGATTTTACCTGGTGTGTGCGCTGGTTGGTGAATTCACGTCCATCGAGACAACTTGTCCACCACTGCACTGCTGATATGCGTGTTGAGCTCTGACGGGTTATTCGCCATCCAAAAGCCCACCTTTGTCTCCTCGCGAGCTCACGCGCGCTTTTCTTCTTCTTCTTCTTTCTCTTAACCTTTTTCAGTCCGTTATTCGGAGGGGGTATTCTGTCGGATTATGACAGATACCTCCTCAGTCGCCATCACGCATTTAACCACGGAGCCAACTTCGGTCACCGTCCCTCTGCCCTCGCCCGCCCTCAACGGCGCCGGTGCCGACCCCGTCGTCCCGGAAGAGGAGGAGCCGTACACCATTCGTTGCATCTGCAACTACGATGATGACGATGGCAACACGGTCTTCTGCGAAAAGTGCGAGACCTGGCAGCATATCGAATGCTACTACCACCGCGTGGGTGTCCCCGACATCCATTTCTGCGAAGACTGCGATCCACGTGGCATCGATCGACTCGCCGCCATAGAGCGGCAGCGGGCTGTTAGGGAACAACAGAGTGACGGTGGCAATGACCGAAAATCCAAACGTTCAGGTTCGAAGGGTCAAAGGAAGAGGGCCAGCAAGGATCCTGCCGACAAGGTGAATGGCAGCTCCCACCACCGCTCCGACTCGGGTGGTCGCGACCATCCGGTCAAGAAAACCAAATCCAATCATCGCTCGTCCAACTCAATCAGCTCCCTGGCCGGTATCCCCGCCTTCCAACCGGACGGGCGCAGACGAGCCACCGCTTCGATGAGTCCGACCAAATTTGGACCCTCCATTCCGCTATATTCCAGGGAGTTTCTACATCTCTATGACCAAGACCACGGACAGGCCGACAACATGTATAGTAACCTCTTTGTGAACCTGCCTCTTGCCGCAGACCTGGCGTCATGGGTGACAGAACCCGCGGCCTTGGCTCGCGTGGCCAATGGACGTTCTGCGCAGGACATTTTCACGTGGGCGGATGCGGGTCTCGACAAATCTCGATGGCCGACATTATCTGTCGAGTCGGTCACCGACCCCAGCGTCGAAGTCGACGGGATTCGTCCCATGTGGAAAACTCTCAGAACCCAGGACATGGTGGCCAAGGATGAAATCGTTGGGGAGATCACAGGCAAGATTGGGCATTTACGGGACTACTGTCTCGACCCCAACAACCGATGGCAGGAGTTACGGCATCCGGAACCCTTTGTATTCTTTCACCCTCAACTTCCCCTCTACATCGATAGCCGACACGAAGGGAGCACGTTGCGCTATGTGCGGCGCTCGTGTCGCCCTAATGTGACAATGAAGACCTACATTACCAACGAAGTGGAGTATCATTTCTGTTTCGTCGCCAAGGAGGACATCTCCGCCAACACTGAGATTACTGCCATGTGGTATCTGGATCCGCAGTTGTTTGAAGCAACCAACGGTCTGGTCAAGCAGGAGTCCAGCGACAGCGCACAGGACATCGCAGCAAGCTGTATCAGTAATGTCCTTGCCAATTTTGGCGGTTGCGCCTGCGATCCACCATCGAATTGTTTGCTTGCCAATGTGGATCGTCGGCGACATGCCAAGATTCCCGACGGTGGCGCCAAGTCGACCGCAAACGGCAAGCGCAAGAAGTCCAAGCGCAAACTCACCATGTCTCCACCACCGCCTAACAGCCGCGCGGACAGCGAAGCAATGAAGCATACCGATGACGACGATGCCGCTGATAGTCGATCCGCGTCTGGCTCGGCTCGAGGGCACGCCGGCAGCCGCGATCTCACACCTACCCACGACGGTCCGCTCTTTGGAGACTCTGAATTGTCGGCTCGAGATAAACGAAAGATCGCTGCTGCGGAAAAGAAGTTCCAGCAACTAGAACAGGATCAACAAGCAGCAACCCATGGTCGGAAGAAAAAGCGGACAAGCGGCCCCTCCACACAGCCCGGACCACTTGGTGGCGCAAGCTCCATGACTGGCGGCAAATCAGTGCAGGTGGACACGGCGGTTGGGCGGCACTCCCGCTCGCCGCCATCAGCGATCTCCCCTGGGACTATGGTTGTTGGTGTACGCAAGGTGTCAGGTCCTAGCACTTCTTCAGTTCCGTCGCCACTCCGACGCGCGCCGTATGTGGATTCCGCGATGCAGACCGACCCAGACGAGGCAGACGCGGAGGATGTGCCCGCTACTTCTCCGCTGCCATCTCCTCGACGGCCCAGCTTTGTGCCTCTCACGCAGCGGTTGCTCAAGCGGTGCCATGCGGATTGGGTACGATTCGAGCAATCTAATGGGGAAAAGCAGACTCCACCGGAGCATGGCCTCCAGTCACCGGCTTCGTCCTCTGCTGCCACGCCAGGTGATGGCCAGCCGTCATTGCAGTCTGCTTCACCAAGCGTCTCCGCAAATCAAGAAAAGGAGGATGTGGAGATGAAGGACCTAGATTCGCCGACTCCTTACAGGCCACAGTCATCCGATGCGATGGATGTGGAACCGTCAGATCCACCATCACCAGCGCCAGCAGTCTCATGGTCAGTTAAGCCACAAATGCCCCCACCATGGCCATCTACCGCTGCGCATAACACTCGAATACCCCCGGCTCCTCCGGTCAATGGGCATCGCGTCGATTTGCACATGTCCCTTCCACCTCCCAACCTCACATCATCGATGGCGAGCCCGGGGTCTGGTACACCGTCAACCATGTCACCCGCATCGACCATGGATGCGGCCTCGCAGCCTACTCCAGGGTCTAGTGTCGCAGCTCCCAGTCCGGTCAAAAAGAAGCTGAGCTTGGGAGATTATCTCATTCAACGACGTGGCACGATGAACACGCCGACGACTGAGAAAACCCAAAGTCAAGCCAACGCTATGCTTCCTCCGCCGCATCAAAAGTCCCCATCGCAGACTAGTGACAACCAACCTGACGGTGTCCCTAGGCAGTCCAAGCCTGATGGCGCACCAGAAGCTGCTAAACCGGATGGACCTGTCTCTTCCGATATCACAATAAAGGATATTCCTCCTCCGGACTCGACCACATCTCATCTTCCCTCCGTCATGTTCTAATTGCTGTTTTGTTTTTATTTTTTTATTTATTTATTTTTTTTTTTTTATTGGGAACCATACCTGGAGTTTTACTAATATCACGGTGTGATGATGGGAAGGCAAAATTCTTTTTTCTTTCCTTCTTTTTCTGTCATTTGAACATGATTCCCTTTCTTTATCCTTAATGTTACCTTTCTTACACTTTTTGTAAACGATGGGAACCGGCGTTCTACGAGTTGTTCGTTTCGTGGTGGGGTTTGAACGGCGTCACCGGCGTGAGCGGTTGGAAAAGGACACAGTGGGATTGATTTATGGGAATTGATTGAGATTCAGAGCCCAGGAAATCGGGCTTGGTGGCTGCAGTCTTTCTCTACTTGATTTTGCTTGTGATTGTAGTATTTTTCTTTTCTCGCTTGTTTTACTTGACTTATGACTGTCCCGGGTTTATGGATTCGGACGGCTTTTTTATGGCTTAGCCAGATGGCAATGAATGAACTCTACGCTTCTATGACTATGATTGATTCTCTTGTATCCTGTGGTGTGATGCAGACATACTATGCTACTATTTACTGCCGTAGCCAGGGTAGATGATTAAGTACATACAACGCCCAAACACCGCCTCAACGAACGAACGATCCCGAGAACAAAAATCTAATAATTAATTCCAGAGAAGGGTCACTTCCCACTCCATCCCCTCAACTTCATACCTTCCTCAATAGCCGTCCAAATCCCCTCCACAATCTCACGATCCCTCCACCTCCCAGCCCCATTCACACCACCCTTCTCATCCCACCGCTCAACCGCAAACCGCTCAACACCACGTCCCCACCCCTTCACTTCACGGGGCGGTTCCTCCCCCCTCCAACCAACATAAACACCCGTTGCATGCTTGAAGAGCTCAGGCGGGGAGGACCATTTGTACGACTTGAACTGCCAGGTCTGGCCCGTGGTGAAGACGGCGACGAGACGGTTCCAGTACTCCGGGCGGAAGTTGGCCGTGCTGTCGACTAGTTTGAATTTGATCTTGGAGGAACTAGAGGATGTAGAGGTGGAGGAGGTTCGAGAGGGGTCGGAGGGGTTGGTTGTGCGCAGTGGGCGCTGGATTTCGAGGATGTTGGGGGATGTGGACATGGAGAGGGTTGGGTGGTCCGGGGGGATGAAGACGCCGTCTTGGAGGAAGGATTTGACGTTTGTCATGCGGATTAGGGAGGAGGCGGAAGGGGAGAGGAGGATGATGGGGTCTGTGTGGGCGCTGTGTTTCTTGGGCAGGGAGAGACCTGAGGAGGGGGTTGGGATGAGGGGTGTTTTGTTGCCGGGGAGGGGCTTGGTGCTGGTTCCTGGGGCTGGTCTGCGGTTGCGGCCCAGGAAGGTTTCGGCGGTTTTGCGGACGTGCGAGAAGTCCTGTCATCGTTAGTTGCACCCTGCACAGGAGGGTAAGGGCAGACGTACCGTAGGCTTGATCCCCCGCAACACACTATTCCGATCTCCCATCTTCCGCTCCCCGTTGTAAATCTCCTGCAAGCGAGGATCAATTTGCTTCGGTACTCTTCCTCCCTGCGCACCAGCAGCCGCAGGCGCCTGGGCCGGTGCCCCAGCACCACCACTAGGAACCGACGAGACACCCCCAGCCGCTCCCGAGGCGATATCAGCAGATGCTGACGCCTGCGCCTGAGCATGCGCCGACGCCGCAGCCGCCGCGGCCTCAGCAGCAGCAGCAGCAGCCCCTTCTAGCGGCTTGATATATTCACTATCATCCGACGCGCCCTCAAGCCAGGTAATCAGATCCAACCGCTCCACGAAAACCAGATTCTGCACCTGCGCCTCACCACCCTCACCAGCACCTTGTTTCTGCTTCAATGCTTCATTGAGTTCCTGCGCAGAGGCAATGTACTCGGGGATCGCGACATCCTTTTTCTGCCACGCGAAGAAGATACTGCGTAGGTCGACTACGGAGTCTGATGAGGCGGAGACGAAGCGCGTCGCGGATGTCAACGGTAAGGCCTGCGCGGTTGGCTGGCGGAAGTAGAGGTGTGTTGCTGTTGCTAGGTCTTCGGTGGTGTGCTTGGACTGTTCTTCTTCGGATGGGTCGGGGGAGGTTGTTGGCGATGGGAGACTGCTGGCGGCGATGGCGCGGCGGAGGGCCAGGAGGGGGTCTTGGAGGGTTGGGTCTGCCATTGTATCTTCTTAATTTAAGCAATTGATAGGAAGGAGAGTAGAAAGAGCTGCGCAGCGCGGCTGTGCAGTTGAGGATGGGCGGTTGGGAGGTGTTGCTACATTCAGCGTCGGAGCTGGTGAAAAGAGGGCGGACACGTGACTGACCGCCCAGCTCTATTCACACTATCTACTCTGTATACACAAGTCTACTTGCTAATTCCCAATCTCTTCGGAACATCCTCCCCATTCAACCACTCCTCCATCGCCTGATACATCTCCCAAAATCTCTCACCATCCTCCAACGTCGGCATATCCGCCGAAATCTCCTTCCCAGCCCTCGCCTGCGCGGCCGCCAAATACCGATACCCATACGGGAACTTCTCCAACTCCTCCCTCGAAAACTCAGGCACATTCTTCCCATCCACAGGCACAACCTTGTCCTTCTCATAAAACAGCTTGACGTACTGCACCTTCCAACCGCCCGAGATCGCACGCGGACCCAGACCCGTCCCGGGGACCGGATTCCCGGCTCTCCGCGGAAGCGATTTCTTAACGCACCACATGATAAAGCGGGCATCGCAGTCAACATCGTATTCTATTTTTGTGGCGGGGTCGGTGAAGCGTTGGCTGATGGTTGCTTTCATTTTGCCGACTGCGCGGTTTGTGCTGGGGTTTAGGTCGACGAGGATGCCGTTTTCGCGGTGCATGACGAAGTCGCCGTTGGCGCGGGATTGTTTGGAGCTTTGGATGAAGTCGTCGATGGGGAGGCCGCCGCTCCATGCTATTTTATCTCTTGAGTTAGTGATCTTTCATGGCTTGGTAACTGGGTGAGTGGGTGGGTAGGTGGCGTACTGCTAAACACGTAGGCATCGTCTGCGAAGCACGCGCGGTAGTTCTTCCATTCTGAGGCATCGCGGTACACCGGCCAGCCTCTGAGTAGTTCGCTGACGCAGTATCGGTCGAGGATCTGGTCCGGAGTGCCGTTTAGGTGCAGCCAGCGGGCCGGCTGTGCTTCTTTGGCAGTGAGGTTGTAGGTCATGTTGCCTTGTGGATGAATTGCTCTAAAGCCAGTGATATGATGATGGTTTTTGTTATGAAGACAAAAGAAGAAAATACCAAGAGAATATTTATAGAAGCGAGACATCCGGGGCAAAGGACTGGTGACGTAACGAAAATGTCTTCCAGATTCGGCAACCCTAGGTGGGTGGGCAAGCATTACTCCGAGGTAAGCGGTACAGTTTTTTACAGGTAACTACAGCTACAGGTCTATACAAGTCTACAATGAAGTATAGCAAGTTTTGTATCAACATTGTATTCTGATGTCTCAGTCTAGACAAGACAGACAGAGAGACAAGACACTGCCTGGCTAAAGAGCAAAAATAACACACGCTGTATCCAGAACGAAAAAAATGCAAATGCAAATCACAAGACAAACGCATGTACTCTGGGAATCTCGGAATCTCAAAGTACAACTGAAACATAAAAGAAAAGATGCAAAGAAAACAAAGGAAATCATGCAAAACAATAAACAAAAACGCCCTTCTAATGCTTCAGGACATTCAACACAGGATTCAGCCTCGTCCGTTCCCGTCAAAGAAATGGATAAGACATAAGAAGAAATTTTGACAAAGAAAAGAAAATTATGTCCCAGTTCCATCTCTATCACATGATCCATAGATCGTAACCGCTTTCGTGTCATGATGACTGATTAAAAAAGAAGGGAGAAATATCATGTCAATCACATGATCAAATTTTGGTGAGGAAATGAAATCGTGTCCTCAAAACACCATCCATGCTCAGGACGTGTCGAGACGTCAGCGCTGGTGTTTTTGGGCAGCAGTGGGGTCAGTTGGCAAGGGCGGCGCCATAGGCCAACTCTGTGCATTAGGGATGCACCGGCCAAAGTATCCGCAAGTTTGAACGACCATAGGAATGATCTTTGTCCAGTGCCACAACCTAGTCATGAACTCATGACCGCGCAGAACGGCTGGTGGAACGTTCCGGAATCGAAGACTGAGTGGGCGAGTAGGATCGGGTAATACCCAAATCCACATCGTGCTCCTGAAGCACACTGGTGTACTTGGGGTCACGCAAGAACTTGGGAACAGAGTCCTATAGGATATTTATTAGTAACCGATCATGGCAATCAATGTACAGAAATACTTACACTAGACATCAACTTGAACACGGAAGTCTGAGCCATTTCAAAAAGTTGCTCAACTTCCTGAAGACTCTTGAGCATCGATTCGTCATCGCCAACCGCCTTGGTCATACGGCTAGCAAGGCTATTGCGCAGAGCGTGGTCGATGTTCAACTCGCAAGGGGAACCCGGGGCCAAGAAAGCGTTGTACAAGCCTATTGCGGTTAGTCTGGTTGTCAACGGAGAGAAAAACATAAGGAAACTCACCATATGCGGCGGCCAGAGTCTCACGGACGGCATCCGGTCTCTGGAAGGTGCCCGCGTTCTCAGCCTTGCGGTAGGTGGCAGTAAATTCCGACACATCGAGATAGAATGAAAGGTTCTCTTCACACAAGGAGTAACGCAGGAATTCACGGAAGAGCAGACGCAGAGCGGCATCACCGAGAATGTGTTGGAGACGGGCATTGTTCGAGTCCTTGGCGGCCAAGTTGCGAACGTCGTAGATCGGAGGAGTGTCACGGGCCCGATCGCGAGCGAGCCATCCACAAACCCGCTGACCGCGCTCTGTGAGACCGTAGATGGCGTACTTGGAAGGCTGGAACACGGCCAGCGAGTCTTCAGCCTGAGGGAACTCCTCGTCATCTTGAATCATGGTGATGAGACCGTACTTGACAAACAGTTCGGCAATCAGAACGGTTTCGCGGCGCTCAATGGTGGTCGAGCAGTCCATGAGCCAGTCGACGGCAGCCTTGCCTGTGAAAGTATTCAGGTGGGTCTTTTCATTAACCTTGCGCTCCTTGGCCATCTTAACACCAACTATCCCGTTGGAGTAGTCGCTGAGGGAGTCTGAATCGGAGCTAGAAGTGCTGCTCTTGACGTTGGGGCCGTCCTGGCCGGCGAAGCGACGGAAGATGACTTCAATGGTAGCCCGATCGTAGGACAGCTTGTCGCTTTCCGTGTCACGCTCCAAGTTGACCAGCTGCATGGTATTCCGCGGCGACTCCAAAACTGCAATGACATGCTGTGCGGTGATACCGTTGCGCTGGCAGAAACGCTGGAGAATGTTGATACCCTTGGGGGTGAGATGGAACAGAGCACCCTTCAGAGGGAAGATAGCCAGAGCTTTGCCATCGGTGGCCTCGATGAAACGGGCGTCGACAAAACGCTGACATACCGACCGGGCCATCTCTTTGGCCATGGAGAAGGTGGTGGTCGTGGTGGTGGTCACGATGCGGGAGGGATCTTTGGGATCCGGCATACGGTTCGACTGGGAGAACTTGAGCGAGCCCAAGTTGTTGATGGCTTCTTCGGCAGTGAAGGAGTGGTCATAACGGGTGAATCGCACGCGGTGGGTATCCAATTTTAAGCTGACCATAAGGGTCGAGAAAAGGTCCATAAAATCCTAGTCCTATTAGCACCATTCACTTAAGAGCCTAAAATAGAAAAGCAAACATACCTTGGTGAAAGGCCGGTCATCTTCGGTCATCCGAAGCAATCTAGAAGAAGTCTGATGCATTTTCTGCGAGGAACCACCGTCAAGCTGGGCAGTGGGCGCGGAGGAACTGGCGGGGAAATCGGCGGGTGCGGGGCTCAATTGATCGGGGCTGGTCGAACTCCCGTCGGAGAAAGGAGAGATGCTCTCACTAGCACCACTGAGCTGAGACGGTTTGTGGGAATGCTTGGACAGACTTCCCGATGAAGTGGACGAATGGAGCGTAGAGTTATTGGTGGTACCAATAGCGGAAAGACTGGCGAGAGCGGAGGAAGTCTTTTCACGAGCAAAAGCAGCCAGTGAACGACGATTGCGACGGGAAACAGAACCAACGACGGAACCAGAGAACCCGATGGGAGTGCTGGTGCTCTCTCTATTATAGGGGTAGGTGAAGTAGTCGTTGTTTGTACTACCGGAGTCGGCGGAGGTGTTGGGTATGTTGTTCGTGGCAGCAGTAGTGACGCTGGCGGTGTCGGCAGTGGAGGAAGTGGGGGAAGCCGACTGCGGAGGGACTGTGACAGAGGCTGTTGGAGTAGACAGCGATGAGGCAGTCGAGGATTGAGAGGAAGGACGGCTGTCTGTAGGAGCAGGCTCTGTAGGCTCTGTAAGTTCTGTAGTGGGTTCAGTAGTAGACTCTGTAGTAGTCGTGGTAGTAGTAGTTGTTGTAGTTTCCGGGGCCTGAATAGTCGCAGCGGAGGTAAAGGTAGAGGTAGAGGAAGTAGAAGACGACGACGACGACGATGAAGGTTGATGAGTATGAGAGGAAGGAGGAGAAGTGATGTCGGGGGAAGAAGTTGAAGATATGGTTGGCATTGAAGAATCAGCCAGAGAAAAAAAAGAAAAAAAAAAAAAAAAAAAAAAAAAAAAAAAAAAGGAAGAAAAGAAGAACAAGCGAGATGGTGGGAGATGAGGGGAGAAAAAGGGAAGGGGAGAAAAAAAAAATTACAAAAAAAGACAGCGGAAGGGAGAGAGAGACAGACAGACACAAAAAAGGTGAGTGAATGATTGAGTGAGAGAAAGAGAAGATAATAAAATGGGGAAGCGTCTCGTATGGTAATACCGAGTGGACTCTAGCCAACAACAGTATAGCACGAGTCATGTTGTGGTATTGAATACGGTAAGATTAATCAAACAGTGCAGAACCGGCTGTCATCATCGGGTCCACTGGGCACGCGGATGGTTTCATGCGCCAACAACGTGGTGATCTACACTTACAACACTGTATCCTCTGTATATATTCAACGTTCTATATGTATTTTTTTTTTTTTTTTTTATATTTTTGAATTGATGGTATATGATACTAATACTAGCACTTTTATTCTAAACCATGTATGTTATCCCTGTTAGGTACTACTTGTATGTGTACCACGTCGGATGATCGGCGGCTGAGGCGCCGGGAGAGTTTCGAGATCGGCAGTATTACCGTATTGTAACGATCCTGTCACATCATATCACTTTACCCTGTACAAGGAAACCCCCCCCCGGTACAGAGTACTACTGGTACAGATAACGACACCGTTCTGAAAGAAATCCCCTAGAGCCCCCTTGAAAACTGCTGGAATAATGAAAGAACACAAGTGAACCATGGTTCCAGCTGGAGACAAACCGGTCAACCCCGATTCCGGAGGGAAATAGTGAGAAAAGAAGGCCAACGGACCATGGAAACTACCTGCCTCTTTAAGCACGTCTGGGACCAAATGTTTGAGTCACGGGCTGCGGTGATCCTTTTATTCAGCCAATCATCGGTCGAGATACCCGAGTCGGCCAGAGACTCTTACCATAAATGGATGTTACCGTACTAGCGCATACATAGTATGTGTTTGCTCCGGTACAAGTATTTACTTTTTCTTTTGCTCAAAGAATTGGCTTTCCAGGTGAATATCCCACGTGGTAAATCTCTGCCTATAGAAAGAAAACAGTTTATCTGCATATAAAATAACCTATATACAGCTTTCCCAGTATGGAGTACCTTGGTGAAATTGCTAGGAAAAATAAAAGGCAGCCAAGAAACCCACGTGCACCCACGTGGAGCACCCATACTCTTCTGTATCTGACAGGTTTTCTGCAGCAACCGCGTGGCCCGCGATATACATCACCTAGTATCGCGTTTCCAAATACAAGCTGTGTACATGTTTCGTAGGTATCCATACATTCCAAAGTCAACGGGCGGGCTAGTCCGATGAGGCTCAACTCCATATCATCTGCCAAGTTAGTCCGTACTCCATGTTGTCATAATTGTTAAGGTTCTCGCTTTCTTGCATGCTTTAAGCGATGGATGGCGGTGATTAGCGCCAAGTGGGGTTTTTCAGGAGCGGTGAGGCCATGTGGCGGTCAGTCGATCCTCATATGCACTCTCTCCAGCACTCGGTACTACTATCTACAGGGTACTCAGTACAGACGACGATATGTAGAGAATGGATATCGTTGGATAATACCAAATATAATGCCGATGAGGATCCCCGACTCCATACCGAATGCCATAATCCCTGCTGCCACGCGAGACTGACAGGGATTGTCCGTACCCATACTCATACCTACTCTGTATGGTCACACAGAGAAATCCATTCTGTCCTACAAGACTAGGCATATCTGACCTGTCCAAATCACACGCAAACAATTCCATCCTTTGATATCGTCAGCGCTCAATACCGAGTATGTACACACCATACTCCGTACTCCGTACTCATACAATATAAATCTACTGCCTATTCGGGCAGCGTACAGATGCCCCATCCACCGTATGATAACGTATGGTAAAATACGAGATGAAACTAAAAGACGGTCAGGAGTGGGGCGAGAGGGGAAACTCCTAGACCGCCAGTTGCCACGTGGTGTACTTATCTACGGACTGCGCTTACTGTATGAGGCTATCAATTAAATGTCCGAACTGTGATAGCAGCATAGTAAAGCTGCTATAGAGTGGCATGATCATGATGCTGTCGATGCAAAGTACAGCACGCGTACGCTAATATGCAGGATACCGGCACATCTACCGATCTCGTCGATAGTTGCTTCCGTAGAGTAAGAGTACCTTAAGAGGATACTGAAACAGACCATCAATATAGCCCATACTCCATACTTGTCCACGCAGAACCAGATATCGCGCTCTGCTTCAATAATTGAAATGAAATTGAATCTTCCAGAACACTTTCCATTCTCCCGACTCCACTTGCTCTTTTCTCCTACGCACTACTCCTTATTCCGTATAGCATTTACTCTGTACGGAGTATGGCCAAGTACTCCGGGCTAAAATAAATCATAATAATAATAATAATAATAATAATAATAATAATCTCACCGTTATGATCGTAGTTCGATCTTCGATACGCTCCACATGGAAATGGATAGTGGCATCCATATTTTGGTACGTACCTGGCGTACCTGGCAGCAACACGCAATACGGCAGATTGATCGACTCTGCCCATTAATTCGGCAGTTGCAGTCTTCTAGAATGTTTTTGTTTCTGTTTTGCGCTGTATGATGTCAACGTAATTGCAGTCTCCATAACCCCATAGGAGGACCTGTACAGGAGTTGGTATGTGCTGCAATACTATGTATTCTACCGTCTGAGTCAGTGTATCCGTACTCTGTAGACACGACACGTACGACTACTATGTATATACTCTAAAAGTACAAACAAACAAAGTACCGCAGCAAGTCCCTCCGAAACTAACAGAGCCGAGAGTACACAGACAAACGAGTGTTCCCTGTTCAACGGCCCCAAACCGCGCTAGAAACATTCCAGAAGAATTCTGGAACCCATGGAAACAGGAGAAGACCCGACCAATCAACGGGCTTGTGGGCCGTACCCCTGGCTAGTGGCGAATTCGGCCGGTTTCGGATCCGACTATCTTAATCAGAGGTATTATTAATAATACATGATATTATGAGAAATGGAGTGGCTAGGGCATTACCCCTGCATACAGCTTGCATACTTGTACAAAGTACTATATAGGAACGTATAAAAAAGAAGCAGAAAAGAAGAAGAATAGAGCAATTGCATCATATTTCTGAATAGGCAAATAAGTATCGGTAGAAAGTATCTATGACACAGTAAATCTGTCACGCAATGGGCCCCCGCGGTGAAGCCATCGAAAAGGATTAATGGAACTTTTGAATGGATCGAATCTTCCACGCTTTAAAGAGGGGCTTTTTTTTTTTTTTTTTTTTTTTTTTCCTCCTCCGATTATCTGCCTCACTTTCTATAAAACTTTTCCAATTCCTTTACCTCTACTCGTCGCATTCCCTCCCTCTGTATATACCTTTTTTTTTTTTTTTTTTTTTTTTTTGCTCTATATTTCATTGTTATTGTAGATAATCGCATTTGCCCAAGCATCATTCGCCGAGAGATACCACTACTACAGCCATGGCCACCGCGACGACCACCACCACCACCACCACCAAGACTATGAACCCCCCCTCCCCCGATGCCTACGTTCAACTCGAAACCCCCCCGGTTGTAATCCAAGAGAAACAAGAATCCCTTCAATCCTCGCCCATTCTGGACCGTCAAAGAGCCCTTTTGATTCATGCCGCCCAGCAACCCTATACCCTTGTCACCGACCACCTCGTGCCAGCAATTCTGAAAGATGGCGAAATCCTCGTCAAGGTCGTTGCAATTGGCCTCAATCCCGTCGACTGGAAGGGCCCGTACGTTCTCAGTTCCCCTGCGACAGTGACGATGTAGCACTAACGACGCATAGTGCATTCAACTTCGGCCTCCCATCGCTCCCCTGGATCAATGGCCGTGACTTGACCGGCATTGTTGTCCGCGGTTTTGACCCCTCGGGGCGCGTCCGTACCGGCGATCTCGTCCTCGTCCCCTCCACAGACTACCGCGACATTCGTAAAGCAGCGTTCCAGGAATACGCCATCACCACTGCCTCCAACGCCGCCCGTATCCCCTCCGCCACCTGCTCCCAGGCTGCCGCTTCGCTGGGCGTGGCATTTGTGGCCGCTGTGCTGTCACTGGGTGTGTCGTTGGGCTTGGACCTGTCCGCGATCGATGCCCTGCCCGGGCCCGACCTTATCAACACATTGAAGGGGGTGGATGAGAATGAGATCCCGGTGGATGTGCGGGGGGAGTGCTTCTCTGCATCTGAGGATGCGGATCGCATTAGGAAGGGCGACTGGTTGGCTATCTGGGGCGGTATGCTTGCTTTCCCCACCCCCCTCCCAATCGCGTAGGAATACATATGTATACTAATAATCGCAGCCTCCACCACAACGGGCTTCATCACTCTCCAACTTGCCAAACTCGCCGGCCTCCGCGTCATCTGCGTCGCCGACGTCGCCCGTCACGGCGCCAAACTCCTCGAACTCGGCGCAGACCTCCTCGTCGACCGACAGGACCCCGAGCGCGCCGTGCAAATCATCCAGGGCGTTACTAACAACAATCTCCGCTACGCCATCGACATTGTCGGCCGGGAGACCGCTACACTCCTGCAGCGCACGCTTGCGAACTCGGAGCGGGCGCACTTGCTCGGCTACGCGGGTCTGCCCAAGGAGCAGTTGGAAAACATTAAGTACCATAACATTCCTGTGAAGTTGTTCCACTCGTCACCGGCCGTCGGGGAGCAGATGGTTTGCTGGCTGGAGGGGTTGATGCAGAGCAAGTTGTTGAACTTGCCGGATATTGTGCAGGCGCAAGGTGGTCTTGGGGGGATTAATGCTGCGTTAGAGTTGTTGCGTAGTGGGAGTGTAGGGGGTAAGCGGGTGGTTGTTAACTTGGATTGATTTGTTTATGTTTTTTTCTGTTTAAAATTGCATGTAGATAATGATAACGAGCGTATAGATTTTTTTTTTTTTTTTTTTTTCCCTACTGAGTATCATATCACGTATATATAGGTCAATTCTTCAGTGCGTATGCAGGAACCTCCTCATCCTTCCTCCACACATACTTCGACCCTGGATGCTCCCCGGGAAGTCTCTTCCTCCCCTCCTCCCCATAAACATTCTCCCTAAATGTACCCCCAGGCACCTTATAATCATCCCAAAACATCCCGCGCCTCCTCAACTCCGGCACCAAAAACTCAATAATATCCTCAAACGTCTCCGGCACACTCGCATAACTAAAATTAAACCCATCCACATCACCCACCTCAACCCACCTCGCCAACTCATCCGCAACAGTCTTCGTACTCCCGATAATCTTCGCCCCGTTCCCACCCAACACCAGATACTCCGCGATAGTCCGCTTATCCCATTTCTTCCCGTTGGAGCCTGGCACTGTGCTGGCCCAGTGGTTCACCATGGATCGGACGGCGGGGGCCTCAACAAAGCGGAAGTCTTGGTCGTCCGTGTACGTCGACAGATCGTAGCCGGACCACCCGCCGAAAAGGCCCAGGGCGCCTTCACGGTCGCCATAGGAGGCTAGGTTCTCGAACTTGGCGCGCGCGGCTTCGTCGGTTTCGGCGACGATGACTAGTATACCTGCAATGATCTTGATGTCTTCGGGTTTGCGGCCAGCTGCTGCGGCTTGCGAGCGGATGCTGTCGACTGATGGCCGGACGAGCTCGGGTGTCTGCGCGTGGAGGAAAATAGCTTCCGCGTGGGTGGCTGCGAAGGCTTTCCCAGCCGTCGAAGTACCGGCCTGCAATATGAATGGTGTCCGCTGCGGACTCGGCTCACACAGATGCGGACCGGGGATGTTGAAGTACTTCCCCTTGTGATCGATGCGTCTCACGGCTTTAGGGTCCGCATACCCCTCCGCGGGGTCAGAGAGGTAGGGCTCATCCCTCCACGAGCCTTCCCAGAGCTTATACGCAACATTCAAATACTCATCCGCAATGCGATACCGCTCATCATGCTCGATCTGCGTATTCAGCCCGAAATTCCTCGCCGCGGAGTCCAAATAACTCGTAACAATATTCCACCCCACCCGTCCCCCACTCAAATGATCAACCGTACTAAATTTCCTCGCCAACATATACGGATTCTCATACGTCGTCGACGCCGTAATCCCAAAACTAATACTGCTTGTCGCAGCCGCCATCGCCGGCACCGCATACAGCGGATCATTAATCGGGAACTGCGCGCCCGCGGGAACAATGGGGTCTGTGTTCTGCGGTCCCTTGTAGACGTCGTAGGGGCCGAGGACGTCTGCAAAGAAGATGGCGTGGAATTTGGCGGCTTCGAGCTTTTTGGCGAGCTCGATCCAGTGCGAGAGGTCTTTATAGGAGCGGCCGCGGTCTTTGGGGTAGCGGGTTAGGCCGGGGTTTAGGTGGGAGGGGCTTTGCATTGCGAAGGCGTTGAGGATTAGGGATTTCATTTTGGTGGTTTGTTTGTTTCTGTTCCTGTTCCTGTTCCTGTATTTGGATGTGCTTTTTTCTGGTTATTTTCAGTCACTGCTTTTGTGGTTGGAGATGTGCTTGCGGGTTATATACTCCGCAACGGTACTTTACCCTATCTATACGTGCAACAGGGATGTGATGGCGTGAGATTACGACAGATTGATCTTTGCTATAATTGAATAAAATTATACCAGATATATGATCCATTGTAAGGGCCTAGCTTCCGTTGACTGAAGAAACATCACTTCTTCACGTGAAGTAACCTGCGATAATTGTCTTTCCATACGTCGTTATTTCTTCGATATCTGCTCTTTCCACGAGAAATGAAGCCATTGAGTCCATTCAGTATAAAAGTAAAAACTAACTAAACATCCCACCACCCCTCCAAATGCACCCTCAAGTCAATCTCCTCCGGCAACCGCAAATGCGGCGTCAACTCCACCTCCTCGCCTTGCTTCGCCTCCAACTCCCGCTTCGACCATCCATTTCCAAACCACGCAAATCGATTCCCACTCCCATTGTCATACGTATACTCAAAGTCTTCCCATCTCGGGTCCCGTCGCACGATATTCGAAAGCGTTGCACTGCCCGGGAATAACCCGTGAACCCGCCCCCCGGGTCGTCCACCGTTATACCAAGATGAACAGTTCGCAGACCACACGGTGCGCGGGTAGAACGCATCGCAGTATTGCACAAAGTCATCCGCCGCGGCTTTGGAGGGTACTATGGTGCGGATCCCCTGCCCGCGCACTTTGCGGAGCACCTTTGCGATGTAGGTGACTTGGTTCTCGACTGCGTTGGGGACGGTCCCGCTGTGTCCACTGGAATAGGGGCCTCCGAGCCAGAGGAGGTTCGGGAAGTGCGGTGTTGCCACGCCCAGGTATGTGTAAGGGAAGCCCCAGTGGCCAGAGTGTTGCCAGTCTGTTTGGAGGTTGTAGCCGTTGGCGGTGATGGGGAAGGGGGGTGCGTGGTCTCTGTTTGCGCCGGTGGAGCAGATGACCACGTCTACGTCGCGGGATTTGCCGTCCTTGGTTATGATGCCTGTTTCTGTGAATCGTTCAATTGGGGTCTGGATGTATGAGACGTTCTCTTTGGTTAGGGCTTCGAGATATCCGGGGCCCGGGGTAGGACGGCGGCAGCTTGGTGGGAAGTCTGGAATGATTTTGTCGGATAGGTCTGGTTTATCGGAGACCCGTTTTAGCATGAGCTCGCTCCATTGGTCGCGCTGTTCTTGGTTCTCTGGGGAGTCTTTGAAGATAGCCCCGAAGCGCTGGAAGTAGCCCTTTTCGACTCCGCGGCGGTATTCTAGGTAGGTTTGCGGGTCTTTGAAGGACTCGCGTTGTTCTTCTGGGAAGATATTTGGCTCTAATCGGCGGACGCCGACTACGCCAAAGGAGTCTGCGATCCAGGTGCGGTTTCGGGCGTAGTGGTCGACATGCGCGGCAATTGGTTGGACAGATGGGAGGACTTGGAGGCCTGATGCGCCGTTGCCGATCAGGGCGACTCGTTTGTCTTTTAGGTCGACGTTGTGGTCCCAGTTGGAGGAGTGGAAGAGGGTTCCTTTGTACTCGTTGATTCCGGGGTAGTCAGGGAATTTCCAGGCGTTGAAGTGGCCGATGGCGCTGATTACAATGTCAAGTTCTTCGACATAGGTCTGCCACTGTAAGTATCACGCCAGCCGGGAGTGAATTAAGGAAAATTCACCTTGGAATTGGTTAAATCCTGCAAAGTGACTTTCCACTTCGCCTTTTCAGGAATCCATTCAGCGCTTTCTACCTGTTGCTGTAATCGCAGATACTGGTAGACGTTGTACTTATGCGCAACACCCTTCCAGTAGTCTCGGATCTCATGGCCTTGCGCAAACTCCTCAGTCCATTGCGTATTCGGCGCAAATCCAGACTGATACACATGTGCGGGGACATCACATCGAACCCCGGGATATGTATTTTCAAACCAAGTTCCGCCCTGTCATAATCAGTCACTGTTACGGGCCATCCACAGTAGTAAATGAGCGTACCACATCCGCATTCTTATCGTAAATGCGCAAATCCAAACCCGGTACCTTGGCTGGTAACAGCGCACCAGCGGTGACACCTGTCAACCCCGCACCAATGACACCCACCTTAATGGGCTTTACTTCGTCGATAGGATGCTCTTCCAGCTGGAAATCTGGCTTGGAATCCGGAGCCGGTTTCGACTCGGGAGTGGGTATAGGCCCGGAGGTGGGTGTGCTTTTGACCTCGACGGTCACTTTCTCCTTGGGGCCGAGGTTAATCGGCGGGCTGTAATCCTGCCCATGTCCATTGGAAAAAGGCTGGATGGGGATAGTAAAGCCGTCAACTGCGGCCATATTGCCTTGATTGCGATAATCAATAATGCAAAGTCAAAGACACGGCCAAAGTCGTACAGCAACATCGGCATAATTATAGATACCCGGATGCACTGCACGCCATCGCGAGGGGAACATACATCATGCAATGCATTATGCCGGTGATTTGCTAGAGCTGAAAGGTTCAATGCTGGGATGTTGTTGCGACAGCGTCGGAGACGCACATCATTGCGGATCGCGATGGTGTCAATCGCATATAGATTAAGACTTTTTGTACAGTCGAGGTCAGTGCCTCGGTAGTATTATTATTGTCCTAGATATGAAAATTATGCAAGTGGAGTGAGTAAATATTCTTTATTGGTGGGTGGCATCTGATAACTATTTTCCACACTACCCTAGTAAAGCCCAGACTCTTCCTTCTTCCTTCTCCTCACTACTCCCTTGATTCTAATCTAATTGGTTCTGGTCAAAATGCCTTCCCCGCAGAGATTCCGAGATATTGAGACATTCAGACGAAGCAAGCTCATGGTTCAGTGACCTTCATGCCATCCAACATCTAGTTCTGGTTCATTAGTCGGATAAAGAGACCATAGACAGAATGCTTCCCGCAGACAATAGTTAACTGTGACAACAGCTTCTACAGCTTAGATGAGACGCTTTTATGATGAGATCCAGCGACACTTTCTTCCGGGGCTACCTTGATATGCATGCCATTTTTTATCCCGGCGATCAAACAAAGCAACATGCGACTAATTCGGCACGGGATCTACTCCTGAGTTTATGCACGTCGGAATGGTGCAATAAAACTTGCCAGTCTACTGACTTCAGATTGCTGCAATATGGCAGGATCCAAATCAAACCACAAGCGGCAAGCTCATACCCGTAATTTGGAGACTCAACCATGTCATATGAAGCATGGTCTTAGTTTGTGGCGCGTGAGAACTCTGTATGTCTTCATCCCAGTGATATGTCTGAGGGGATGTACACGACCAGCGACGTCTAATACGCGCGGACACTCACAGTGCCAACCGCACCATATTGATCTTCAGAGGCAGATGCCCGCAACTAGGCTGTGTAGCATACAAAAACAAGGAATTACGACGGTTCCTTGCAATGCCGGGGTGACCGAGTCTCCGAAGCGCAAACTGGATAGGTTTGAATCTATGGGATAATGAAGACCTCTAAACGTTAGCCCTTGGGTCTTGTCTCAACTTTAATGGATCAAGATTTAAGCTGCGCTTTTCGAATCGATTCTGGACCGAACCCCATATTTGCACACCATGAGCAGTTTCATTAATTCATCCGAGCAATGAGAGCATTGAGTGAGACTCCCAACTTGCTGGGCTATTTCTTGAACAAGTCTCCCATGCAGGACGGGTCCCAAACTGCCAACCATTCGGCAATTGTGCTGAAACTTACCCCTTCTTGCATCTCATGAAGTACGGTTTCCTCTCCTGAAAAATCAGTTGGAACTTGGACAAATCTATGTGTACATTATTTTTACGAGGCATACTTATGGGGAATTGAAAACTGAATTCTTATTGGTACACTACAATGGGAATTTTTGTTTTCCACACCATAGTCACCAGAAATGATAATAATAACTAATAAATGAAAATTGTCGAGAACTAAACCATCCCCAGGTTCAGTTTTAGGGTAAGATGTAGTACCACCAATCAGCAAGCCTCAATTAGTCTCCGTAATCGGCGGCAGGATCTGAAGAAGGATTACCGCGGATAAGCGCCTCAGCTAAGCCCAAATGGGGGGAGTGGCACCGGTGTCGGGGTAGTGGACCCATCAGATCTACCAATCAAGCAGTGGCAAAAGAAGGCTGACCAGCCGAGATCGGAGCAGCCCCTCGAGCGACATCGCGGTGACAGGCAGTAGTAAAGGACATTCATCTCCTCCCTCTTTCCTCCAATCCTCACTATCTTTCATATCTTGCTACTATTAGTCTTGATTCTTCTTGTTAGCCTGTTCTCCTTGTTGTATATTCATCATGCCTGCCGCTGATAAGAAGCCCAAGACCCTCTACGATAAGGTGGTTGACGCCCACATCGTCAACGAGCAGGAAGATGGCACGATTCTGCTGTATATCGATAGACACCTTGTCCACGAAGTCACCTCTCCTCAAGCCTTCGAAGGCCTTAAGAATGCCAGCAGAAAGGTCCGCCGGCCGGACTGCACTCTGGTCACCGTTGACCACAACATTCCTACTTCCTCCCGCAAGAACTTCAAGAACGTTGACGCCTTCATCGAAGAAAATGACTCGCGGATTCAATGTTCGACCCTCGAAGACAACGTGAAGGACTTCAATCTCACATACTTTGGAATGGGTGACAAGCGTCAGGGTATCGTCCACATCATCGGTCCTGAGCAAGGATTCACCCTCCCCGGAACCACCGTTGTCTGCGGTGACAGTCACACTTCCACACACGGTGCCTTTGGTTCCCTTGCCTTCGGTATCGGTACCTCTGAGGTCGAGCACGTTCTCGCTACCCAGACCCTCATCTCTCGCAGAAGCAAGAACATGCGTATCCAGGTCGATGGTGAGCTGCCTGCCGGTGTCACCAGTAAGGATGTCGTTCTTCACATTATCGGTGTTATTGGTACTGCCGGTGGTACTGGTGCCGTCATTGAGTTCTGTGGTTCTGTTATCCGTGGTCTGAGCATGGAAGCCCGGATGTCCATGTGTAACATGTCCATCGAGGCTGGTGCGCGTGCTGGCATGATCGCACCCGATGAGATTACCTTTGAATACCTCAAGGGCCGTCCCCTAGCTCCCAAGTACGACAGTGCTCAGTGGAAGAAGGCCGTCAACTACTGGTCCAGCTTGAAGTCGGATGATGGTGCCGTGTATGACAAGACCGTCCTGCTCGATGGCAAGGACATCATCCCTACCATCTCGTGGGGTACTTCTCCACAGGATGTTGCTCCCATCAATGGCGTCGTTCCAGGCCCTGATGACTTTGAGGATGAGAACCGCAAGACCTCTTGCAAGCGTGCTCTCGAGTACATGGGTCTCGAGGCCGGTACGCCCCTCAAGGACGTCCAGGTGGACAAGGTTTTCATTGGTTCTTGCACCAACGCCCGTATTGAGGATCTGCGCGCCGCTGCCAAGGTGGTGAACGGCAAGAAGATCGCCTCCAACATTAAGCGCGCCATGATTGTCCCTGGTTCCGGTCTGGTCAAGCAGCAGGCTGAAGCTGAGGGTCTTGACAAGATCCTCACCGATGCTGGTTTCGAGTGGAGAGAGGCTGGTTGCTCCATGTGCTTGGGTATGAACCCTGACATCCTGTCGCCTCAAGAGCGCTGTGCCAGTACCTCCAACCGTAACTTCGAAGGCCGTCAAGGTGCTGGTGGCCGTACCCACCTGATGTCCCCCGCCATGGCTGCTACCGCCGCCATTGTCGGTAAGCTGGCTGACGTCCGCGAGCACGTCGTCGCCAGCCCAGTCCTGGGTAAGGCTCAGCCCAAGGTGGACGTCGAGCAGACCCACGAAGAGCCCGAGTCGGAGGAGGAGTTCGACCGCATCATGGACCTTCCCGCCGACAACGAGCCCCACACCAATACCTCCGCCGGTGGTGCCTCGACCAGCACCGGTCTCCCTAAGTTCCACGTCCTGAAGGGCATCGCCGCTCCCCTCGACCGCGCCAACGTCGATACCGACGCCATCATCCCCAAGCAATTCCTCAAGACCATCAAGCGCACCGGTCTCGGCAGCGCAGCCTTCTACGAACTGCGCTACCATCCCGACAACACCGAAAACCCAGATTTCATCCTGAACCAGAGCATCTACCGCAACTCCAACATCCTGGTCGTCACGGGCCCCAACTTCGGCTGCGGTAGTTCCCGTGAGCACGCCCCCTGGGCCCTCCTCGACTTTGGCATCAAGTGCATCATCGCCCCCTCCTTCGCCGATATCTTCTTCAACAACACCTTCAAGAACGGCATGCTCCCCGTCGTCGTCTCCGACCAGGCCCTTCTCGCCAAGATCGCCGACGAAGCCCGTGCCGGTCGCGAACTCGAAATCGACCTCCCCAACCAGCAAATCAAGGACGCACAGGGCAACAAGCTCGCCGACTTCGAAGTCGACAGTTTCCGCAAGCACTGCCTCACCAACGGCCTCGACGACATCGGTCTTACTCTTCAACTCGAGGGCAAGATCCGCACATTCGAAACCAAGCGCACCCTCGAGACCCCCTGGTTGGACGGCAGCGCCTACCTCAAGCGCGGTCCCCGTGGCGCCACCATGGTCGAGGCCGCGCCCACGCCCAAGACCAACCGTGGTGATGTCAAGAACGAGCCGCTGGAGTGGTAAAGTTGTTTCACTTGTTTTTATGACTCGGGCCCTATCTTCGGGATCCGGATACTCTGATATGACCGTTTATACGAATTGCTTTGCTTTGCTTGGTTTGTTTCGAAAAGTGCACTGGTTCTTAGGGGGCTGTTTCTTTGCATCGGGGTTTGTTTTGGGATCTTCCTTAGTATACCGGATAGTTATGCATTCTAGGTTTGAATATAATGATGATATACGATGTACGATTTCTTTATCTTGTAGTTCACGGTCAGACATGTTAAAGAGGCTTATGGATTATGTACGAGTTGCTTCTCTCTACATCCGCATCCATTCATTCGTAAATAAGCAACAGAAAATTAAAAATAGGCATGAAATATATGCGAATAGATAGCTTCCTCCCTTTTCACACTCCAAATACAGAATGAACAATATTATACACATATCCACCAAGTTAATCTTCGCAAATGCAATAAGAAATAAAGTTTTCCCAAGAACAGATAATCAAAATAACAAAAAAAAAAAAAAAAAAAAAAAAGGCTATATATCGAAATCGCAGATCAACACATAAGCCATGGATGAGAGGGTATCAAACGGCGGTAATTAACACCAACTAATGATGTATTATACATAAGTAAAGTCGTGAATATAGTCGAGAACAAGCAAGCGAAAAATCATGCTTATGGCTTCGAGAGTTGCTCCTTGCGGAAGAAGAACAGGAATCCAGCGCTGCAAAGATCGTTAATACATGCATAAAAGAGTCTGTCGTGAAAGAAGGAGGGCTTACCAAATCAACAACTGGAAGATAAGAGCAATCCAGAACCACCCATTCGCCAGGGAACTGGCACCAGCCGTGATATCCGGCGAAATCGGGCCGGGCCCGATACTATTCGGCGCAAATGCCCTCGCACAGATCGTTGCAATCGAACCCAGCACTTGCGAGACAATAAGCGCAAAGCAGATATGCATCCGCGTCAGCGTCTGCAGCAGAATCATACCGAAACCCACTCCCTGCAGTGTATCCAGAACACCGAGCCACAGCCACAGACTGCGCGAGACGAGTGCTCCGGCTGTGTAGCCGCCGGCCCAGGGGAGGTAGAGGCCAGCGCCGGAGACACCCCACCATATTTGGGCCCAGCGGGGGGCTCCGAGACCGCAGGCGAAGACGGGGAGGATCCAGGAGTGGGATTTGGAGAGGTAGCCGAGGAGGAAGAGGAAGATTGCCCAGACGGCGCCGAAGAAGACAACGCAGAGGATGCCGATTTGCCAGGCGTGCACGTGTTGGGAGCTCCAGAGGACTGTGTCTTATTAGCTTTGTTTTTTTTTTTTTTCTTTTTTTTTTTTTTTTTTTTTTTTTTTTTTTATTACAATGGTTTGTTGGGGGGACTTACAGCTCCAGTTACGACCGTATGGTGCACTGAGGAACCAATTTTGGATGATCACAACGGCAAAGTTCCAGAGGATGATCTTGCGTCTGAAGACGGATCTGTAGAACGACGGGACCTTTCCTGGTGCTTGGCGGTAGTAGTTTGGCAGGCCGTAGAAGATAAGCAGTCCAACTACCCAGAGGAAGACTGCAATCGGTAAACAGATGGCACTAAATTTTCTCGTTAGTGAGTTATTGAAAGAATGGGAAAGGATAGAACGTACGTCATTTTCCAGGTGTTTGTGATATTCCCTTGAGGATTAACGATCCCATCGGCAGTCGCCTTGGTAAGGGTTGATCCCCAGTACCACAGCCCAATGATATAGGCCTGCTGAGTACCCTGAATAACACAAGCACGGAACACCCATTCCTTCACAGGAGCACCGCTTTCATCACCAAAGTTGAGAGCGAAGAAGATGGAACCACTGGACGATGCAGTGGCATACACACCACTGGCGACGTTTTGAATCCAACCGCGATTGAACTCGTTGCCCTCCCAGTGAGCGACACCGATCAGAATGAAGGCCAGACCGTAGAAGAACCAAGGAAGTGAGAGCGTGACCACAGACTTGAAGTATCGGAACATGAACCACCAGATGATCGAAGTGACCAGGTACACAGTCGCGATACCATAGAGCTTCTCGGCTGTTTGACCGACTTCACCAGTAAGTAGCGTGATCTGGTACGAGTTCGCCGCGATGATCTGTCCCAAACCAAGGAAAAGCGAGTAGACCGGCCAATCGCCAATGCGGAGCTGCATCCATTTCCTGAGACCAGTCGGAGGGACGTAGTCCTTTCCAAGCAAGAACTCATCGGCTTCCTTGTTCTCCTCGCCACCACTGTCGCGCGAGGCCGAATCGTCGTTGGAGATTGAACCAGCTGGCGAAATAGCACGCTTACCACGGAAGATAGAAGGAGCCGGAGAATGGTTGCGTCCTAGCCTTGCGTCCCTGAACTTGTCGAACCATTTCTTTTCACTCTTCACCAAGAACACCTCAATACAGAGCTGCGTCTCAGAGTTCGAGCCATTGAGATCCTGGAGTCGGCTCTCGAACACCCGGTAATATTCACCAGAGCTGTCAGTAAAGAACGGGTCGACTTTTTGTAGTTTGAAGTCCTTCTTGTCACCAACAACGGAGTCAACGGAAAGCACAGAGGAGCTGCTAAGACGGTTCCCAGGTTCAGCGAAGGGTCTGATAGGGGCCAGAAGACCGTCGTCAAATGCCCCCGGCGTCGTTGAGGCGACAGATTGTCTTGTCGCAGTTGATCCTTGGCTGAAGTGTCGGTTTTGCGCAGGGATGGTGGCGTGGAAGGGCGACAGTCCACCATGGGTAGCGGCCTGTTGCTGCTGTTGGAGTTCCATCCGGCGACCTTCCCCTGCTTGTTCGGGAGTGAGCGTGTATTCATCTTCTCCGTAGTAGCTGGGGATATTGTCGTCGTCGCTTTCCTCTTCCGCATCGGTCATGACATGGGTCGAATTCTCCTCGACTGCTAGGATGTTGCTCTTTCTCAATCCCCGACGGTGCGAGTGACCAGGGCCAGAGCGGACACCAAGTGAAAGCTGTCGACTGAGTCCGGACTTGGGCTTTTCATTGGCGCTGGGACTGGGTGTTGGATCAGTGCTGTAAACAATTGTGTTCCGTTGCTGCGGGCCAAGAGTGCTGAGACGGTTGGTATTGCTGTAGCTGCTTTCCCTCGAGTGCGCAATAGGTGGTGTCTGCAATCCTGTCGGAGTCATAGCTCCGGGAGAAGAGATAGGCGAGACCAATAAACCAGTGCCCGCGGTTGGCGTGCTATAACCAGATGGCGTATAAGGCTGTCCGTGAGACTTGACCAGTTCCTTGTTGTGAACGCGAATAGAGGTCGCCTGCAAGATTTCCAAGTCCTCAACCCATTGGGCGACGGGGAACCGCTGCTTGGCAGATCGTGCACGCATCATTGCGCGGACGTCAAGCTTCGAGTTAAGGGCACTGTCGATGGCGACCTTGAACTGGTGCAGAAGATGGGCAGTAGTCGTAGATTCGACATTATACCACCAACCAGGCATTTGACCGAGACCACCAACACGGGCACCGATACCAAGAGCACCTTTACGACCGAACTCGACGGCAACAAGACCGAACGGCTCATCACGAGAAGGGATCAGAGCGAATTCAGCACCAGAGAAAATGAAGGGCGGGAGCGCAGTGAACTGGGGTCGAGAGAAGACACGTCCGGGATAGATCTTCATCATATGCTCGAGCTTCAATGCCGCGAACTTTCCGTACAAATCAATGACCGGACCAACACAGATCAACTGGACATTGGGATGGGCTTCGAGAACGGCAGGCATTACATCAGCGATAAGGTCGACACCCTTTTGCATCGACCATCTTCCAACGAACACCAGAAGATCCGCGTCAGGGTTTTGCTCAAGACCGGCCCATTCCTGTGCTTGACGCTTGAATTCGCCTCTGTTCGATTCGTAATCGGGGTCAACCTGAATGTCGCTTTCCTTGGGCAGCTCCTTGTTCCATTCTCCAGTATCCGAGGGGTCGGGGTTAGGCAAGTTGCCAACCTTCTTCAACCCCCAGAAGATGGGATAACGAGCATAAGACCGTTTTCCGTACTTCTTAGACACACCGACTGCACCGAAGCCTTGCTGGTGAACACGGAGGTAGCTCGCACCCGCGTGAAGCAGGTTGAAAACCTCACCGAACTGGACGTAGCGACTCACGATATCCATATCGAGGTTGAAGACCGAGCAGACTTCGTCTTTCTCCTTTTGGGTACGCATAGGCCACAGACCCTGGAATTCAGCGTTGTGGAGAGAAAGACAAACAGGAACGGTTTGAGGAAGAATGTAAAGCGGAGCAATGGAGCCGTGGTAATCGTTAATGTGGTACAGATCAATGGGGAATCGCTTGATCGCATGCGCAATACACTGATTCCACGCGGAGTAGTAAATGGCACTGTCCAAGTCGTCCATGCGGGCCGGGTAGGGCTCAGCCTTGGTTTGCTGGCGGAACACAGGAGCGTCAAGAAGGACGTAGGTGATGTTGTTCAACGTGTGGTACTGGACCTTGACTTCGTATGGATTGCCCAAAACGGTGACGAACATGGATTCGGCTGGACGATCTTCGGGGTAATCCACACCTCCAACACAAGGAACAACCCAGATGAGGTCCTGGTGGCCAAGGTGCTTTCCCATCAATTGAGCCATCACACCGAGACCACCGATCTTGATTTTGATAGCCCAGTCTTCAATGTCGTACTCCATAGTAGCGATGAGGGCCATTTTTCGGCGGTCCTTGCCCGCCGCACCGAATGCGGATGTGCTCTGGAGAAAACCGGACTTGTTGGCGAGACGCATCAAAGGATTCATCGCTTCGCCCTCTTCGGGATTGCGCCTCTTCAACTTCCGGCGGAGGGCAAGAGGAAGGAGCCCTTTCTTTTCGCTGACACCAATCTGGTTGAACTTGATCTGGTAGAACGACTTCATGAATACGTACACACATGCGGCCGCCGTCACGATTGGCATGAGCCAAAACAGGAAGTACATGGCCATCTGGGCATACTTCGAGCCTACGGGTACAAGCTCGAACTTCATGGTAGCGTCATTAACGTGGAATCTCCACGCCAGGTAAGGGGAGGGAGGATGGTCCGTGACATTGACAAGAGTTGCACTGAGCGAGGATGGCGGCAGACGGTCCAGAATCGCATCACCATCAGCATCTCCGTACACATAGCTTTCGTCAGGCTTGCCATCCGGATCCATGCCCCAGATGTTGAATTGACCTTGGGCAGGCCACTCGGACACGAATCGGTACTTCCACAGCCCATCCTTATCCTGTTCAACCACGTTGTGCAAGCCAGCATCGTACCCGTATTGGTTGTAAGGACCGTTGAAGAAAAGGTGGGGGAATCGTCGCTCGCCTTTGCCGTCCCAATCGGTGTCACCCTCTTGAGCGTAGTCGCTGCTACCGGTCCATTTATTCCAGTACTCGACACGGATGTGCTTTCCTTGCCACCGTTGCTTCTTGGTTCCTGACCATTCCAATTCTTCGATAGTGTCATTTCCACCGGTGTACGGGATCCACTTCGAAAATGTGCTACCCCAGTTCGTCGAATAGCGGTACTTGTCGGCTCCGGCCGCGTGGTGTTGGATGAACAAGGTTCCGTTGTCCGTCCGGTGAAGCAAACTGCTGGAATAGTTGGCCGAAGGGTACAACATCGGGTTATCACGCTGTCCAATGCGGATGAGGAAGTGGTCGACGGCATCCGTGAAAGCTCCATCAGTGGTAGTTGCGTTTTTCACTGTCAAACGGTGGACGCCGTTGTAGACACCCTTCACTGTTGCCGACCAATACCATGCACTTGGAATCTGACCAGGCCAGGAAGTCTTGTCAACAGCGATTGAACTGCAATTGACACTGTTGGTATCGAAAGAGGCAGTCTTGTCAGCCTCGGTGGATGAATTGAACGAGATCGACTTGGTGACGGAATCACAGTCCATTTCGGTGGAGAAATAAATCTTGACATCGACATCTTCATAGGTGTTGGGGAGCACTGTAGATAGTAGGGGCGCGTCATGACCGGGCTCAAACTTGGTGATCATGGGACGAGGCGAAGAGAACTGAGTTTTGGGGACATAGGCCCTAAATTCATACGCACTCAATGTCAAGCTGTCTAAACATCCGTTGGTCTCCGTGGAGCCATTTAGACGAAGCTTTTTCGGGCCGTCCTTCAGAACCTTTTCGTCATGCGGATAGAATAAGTTCTTCACCGTGGTCCCGCTGGGGAAAGGAGATATCAATGCCGTGTCATTGTCGCTGCAGTCGAACTGGTACTCCAGGGTGTGGTTGTCGTTTTGATACACTAGCCAAACTGGCTGGTTATCCGCATCGGATCCCAGATCTTGGTGCTCTCCGTACACGTCTCGGAGAATGGACCACATGCCTGTCTCCGTCGCAGTGCCGTTGGAACCGGGCAGGTAAATGTCTCGTGTCCGGTTAGATAACTTCTGAACAAGCCATCCATCGTTCAACACGGGATATTGCTGGCGCATTTGGTACATGTGCTTGATGACGTTTCGCACAGGATGCGAGGGATCCCGGTGATCGTACGTGACTGTTTCGTCGTGGCAACCTTCCAACGCTGCTTCGAGGGGCCATTGATAGTACTGAGACGACTTGAGACTGAAGCAACCATGCGTTTTCCATGCGGTGGCGGGCGACATCGACTGACGTCCATAGATATAGTTAGAAGCTGTCGCATCCAAGATGTAGAACGCTTGTTCTTCTCCCCATAAAAGCATCGGAATACCGGGGAGATGCAGGGTCGTGATGAACAAAGCCAAGAGTTGTCGCTCGACACCGTATTGGATGGCAGGCCAACGGAAAACGTCCTGGTTAGTTGCGCCGTACATATGTCTGGGGTCGAATTTTCCCGTGTTTGCGTTGATCATGTCGTTAGACACAAGCATCAGGTTCCAGGCATCGGTCCAGTCAACCGGCGTATCATAACCCGCAGCCAGGTTACCATCCATTCCCAGGAACCGAGTAAGGGAACGATACACCGAATAGTGGAAAGCCGCCGCATCTATAGCCTCGTGGCCATGCTCTCGCAAGAAGTATTGCTGGGCCGACATATTGTTCATGGTAACCGCCATTTCAGCACTCTCAGGATACTGGTTGGGCTGCCTGCCACGGCCGAGATAGATGGAACCAAAGGTGTTTCCGCCTGTGATTTCACCGGCGATAAAGAAGTTTTCTTTACCAACTTCCCGGGCACACTCTCTGTAAGCGCTCGACATGTCACCCAGAGCATCCACGGTGGCCTGTGTGGCTTTATCGTAACGGAAACCGTCGATATCGAAAGCGCGGATGATCATGCAGGAGTGTCGGATCAGTCGTTCTCTAACGCTGGGATTCCATTCACGGAGACGGTCCTGGACGGAGGCGAATTTTGCCAGCTGACGCTGCCAGTCAGGGAAAACGCCAAAGGCCTCACGGTCACCGTACTGGTCAAAGTCACTGTCAAAGCAGCCTTTCAGTTGGTCCGTGACAGACGACTCGACTGGGTAACCGTCCTCGAACCAGAATCGAGGATAATCGCAAGTTTGGTTGTAGGTGTTTCCGATATCGAAGTCGGCATAACGACGATTAGATTTCCAGAGTACTTCGTGCTCCTTGACTGAGAACGGCGTGGTTTCATTCAAGTGGCCCTTGAAGCCAATCAGGTCACCCATACTATAGATTTAGTCAGTATTGAGGGGCCCTCACTATACTAAACAATAGAGAAGGCTGAACTTACGTTGCGATGGTATTGTCAAAAATGACGTACATACCACGGTTGTGAATCTCGGTGATTGCCTTTCTCCATGCGTCAATGTTGCCAAAGTGCTGATCCAACAGAGTGGTATCCAAAGCCGAGTAACCATCCGAGCCCCATGGCTGGTTCATCAAAACCGTTCCTGCAAGGTAAATGGTCTGCTCATATTAGCTCCGTTCCGCTATAACAAAGCGGAAAAGAAGATGAAAGCTCACCTTGATACCCATTCCTTGTAGGTAGTCCAACGTATCAACCAATCCAGCGACATCACCACCATGACGCATTTGATTCGACTTCAAGTCGTGCTCGAAGAGGGTACCATTGATGTTATCGTTCTCGGGGTCGCCGTTGACGAACCGGTCCAGGAAGAGGGTATATACAGGGGACCGCCAGTTATCCGGCGAGGGGAAATATGTGTGATCCGGCCAGTCGATCCAGTAATCTGCGGCGTTGGTCGCGGTCTTGTTCTGGTTGAGGTTGTATTGGAGGAAGGACTCATCGTAGGGCCAGCCCACTACTGTTGTTGCGAACAACGCAAGCAACGCACTTGGAGACCCCCACCTCATGTTGGCGGCAGCTCGATTGTACCGTGTTTATCGTTCTATGCGTCAGTCATGTGTCGTAATCGAAGGCGATGTTAGAGGATGTGATAGAAACGAGTGAAAGAGATGGTGAGAGGTCGAGTGAGGACGTGATTATAATATATCCCAGGATCCCGAACTCCGGTAGTGGCGATTCTGAAGAAGCTCACACGAGACCGAAAGTTAAACGAAAAAACGAACGAAGAGATACGAGCTGTTCAAAAATAGAAGACAGAAACGAGAGATAGTAAGATAGAGAAATAAATAAAGAGGGAAAAGGTTTCAGCAGAAGAGATGCAAGCCTAAGAAGATCAATCACTTGCAGGAAGAGAGATACAGAGAAGAGAAAAAGGAAGATGGACGATTAAGAGCGGTGAATGATAACCTCCGAGAACCAGGCAGCGAGGGACTGATTGATCTTAGCTCGTCTTTGCTGAGCCTCTTTTCTTGCTCTGGTTCTGCTTCTAGCAGAAGTTCTGGTCCGTAGGGATATGAGGAACCTTTCGGAGCATTGTGGGGATGGTCCATCTCGTTGGACACTAACGGCTCACGATGACCTGATTTGGTTCTTTTTATTCCATCCATTTCTATTCCAAGACAGGATCCAAACCTAATGTTGGGGGAAGGGCAAATTAATCCATATCGAAGCAAGACGGCCGAGGGAGAGAAAAAAAAAAAAAAAAATACGTGATATTCGATCTGGTACGCTATTTACGGTACATGTGGGTCTAGTGGACCCGGTTCGTTCGGTATCTTACACGGCGTTACCGACATTGGATGTATCCAAAGTTCGGACAATGCATTGTTTATCAAAATTGAAGAGCGGTGGAAGAAGACAAATTGAGATATGGTGGTGGTGTATCAAAGCTAGCAATGTGTTAGAATGTTTTTTTGGAGGCACAACTTCAGGTCTCCCTAACGTGCTTTTATGTCAGGCAACGTAGATGACAATAAGCCCAAATCGGCAGGCTGCTACTGCATTTGTCAATGTCTTGCTATCTGCCATCTGTATGGCACAAATTGTGCTATGATGCTGCATCCGTAGGGGTTATTCTTAACGCATCGTCCTTGGCAGGGCTAGCTATGAAACCCGGCGAGTCAGCGTCGGCCAACCCACTTGCCGGATTGATTAGTTTTGCCATTTGTTTTGCATCCCTATCTAAGCGAGATTTAAAATCTCCGGTCTAATATAATACAGTGCAGAGACAATCGATAAAACTACTATCTCGTCACAAAACGATAGTTCCCACGTTCTAGAAAAAAAGAGAGAGAAAAGCTGTGCACCGATCCAACTCTCGGATATAGAAAGTCTATGGAATACATGGATGAACATACAGGAGATATCCTATCTAGGTCGGCAAACGAACCCTACAAAACGTGGATTGCAGATGATTAACCAATCGGGCTCTCGGAAACTAGATTAGCGGTAACACTGGGCAAGGGTCCAAGAATGGGTATGATTACACAACCAAAATCCGGCTCCTTGCCGGGATAATTTGGGGGAAACTGGAATTAGCCGTTTGGGAGTGCTTCGGAAGGGGCTCTATTATCAGTAAATAATTTTCTTTAATGAGGCTGTATGTGGCTGTAAGGCACTCGGTACTTTCCCGGGTGCTGTACGGAGTGCTTCAGATGAACGTGCTACTACGGAGTACAGACGTCTTCCTTCTGCTGTACTATTGCTTTCCTAGTGTGAGTTCACTTGTGTGGTTCGTATAGCGGCGTTTGAAATTTCCGTATACCTCGAGAGGCATCATCCGGTTAGAGCAAAAGAGATCAAATGAGTAGGAGACCAGAAAGCAAAATCACTCGATGACGATATTCATTATGGCGATCCTCGACGATCCGGGGATAACATCCAGCTTTATAGATTATTCGACTCCGTACTCCATGTTCTATTACCTGGAAAATTCGATCTGGCAACAAATAGGATCCCTTGCTTATACGGTAGCCATATCGGCTTTTTCCTACGCATTGAATTGAATAGTTTCTCCGGCTCGTACATGGTACGGCTGCAATGTAAATGTAGTCAAATTTCTCTAGAAATCAATACACTAGGCTCTTTACTCTGTGCTGAGAGCTGTGTAGAGATATCAATTTGCGAAAATTACAGGATAATACGCAATACGAAAAAGTAAAAATAGGGTTGACACCGGCGCTAAGCCTAACTTGGCGACGATCCAAGCGTCAGGGACCGATTTCGCCGAAACAATTTTTGGTTAGCGCCCGACTAGCGCGGCTCTCGATTCGGCAACAGCGCCGTATGGCTTTAGCGCGCTCCACTCAACCGGCAATCGGTTCCTAAAGGGACTTTGACAGTCAGCCCTTCATGATCGCTTGATGATCAGGATGATCACTTGGGGACGAACACCTTATCTTGCGGTGTCTTGGTCATTATTTACCATCCTGCTGTAATGTCACAAACTCAGCAAACAACTTTTCTCTAACCGTGATACCTTCACTCCCGGACTCTGCCAATTTCCGGTCCCTACCAAACCAGGAAAATGCTTTCGCTGGCGGCTTGTTCCGGCCGAGCTATCGCCGTTTTTAGTACTTCTGGCACCATCGTGACACTCGAGAAGTGAGACTAGTTTTTCCTATCAGACCCACTTGAAGCCACTGGAAAAATTCGGCGTTTTGAACCTGGCCAATCACGTACGGAAGGATGCTAAAAACAGAGCATCGAGAAGAAGCTAGACTCAGAAGGGTACTTGCGAAGTATATTTCCGGAGTAAAGCTCAGGTACCGGCATAGTCAAGACTGATATGGTGATATCAACGACTAGGAAAGTCAAACGATTACTACTCTTCTAAATTTTCATGTCCTAAAGACTGCGCCACCGGACCCTTAACTTTGTGAGATATGCATCATAGTTCAGCAGCTCATGCACTCGCACATCGCGGTCGGATGTGCTGTGTCAATTGATGTTCTGTACATGGCATGGCACTCAAAGGAACAGGATTGTCGGACGATATTACAATTGGAATCAGATAGCCAAGCTGTCAATTGAATATCTCGGGCTATCACCTCAACCGACATAAATATAGCACTGCATGCACAGTTCACAGGTACAGAAATATGTATATTACTCCGTCCTTATGCATACCGAGATCCTGAATTTGAAGCAAAAACAGTATTCCCTAATATTGGCAGTTCGTATATTTTAGTATAGGTCCTTTAAAAATGTATTGTAATTGCATTTCCAACAGTACAAAAAGAAACCGGAATGAAGTAGATTGCATATATCCAGTCCGGATCTTTGGGTCGGGCATACGGCGTTTCAGTACAGCGTCACTGCTATATATAGCTGCTTTGACAGCACTCTGATCAACATTCATCCAAGCCCACTTGCCTACGAACCCACACGAGATACTTTTAGACAAAGTACCATGTGTATGCAAAAGCTTGGGAGATAAGACATATCAGTATCTCGAAAGCTTTGCCTTCCCTGACCGTGACAATATGAAAGTATACAATTCATTGGTATCATTTTCTAAGTCATCCACCGAGACACGTAGAGAATAATGGAGTTTACTCCGCTCCATAACGACCCCGGTAGTCCTTCAACCGCTGCACTTCGCCCTCCCCAATCTGACCACCCAACTTCTCAATCAAGTCGTGAAGACCAATGACCGCGCGGATGGGAATGTTCTCACCCAGGTCTCTCTGGGCAACACCAACAGCGCTCTTGGACTCAGCGTCACTGACTCTCTCCTCCCGATCCAGCAGGATGACAACGCCCGACACAATACCGCCCTCCTTCTCAATGATACCCACGGCCTCGCGCAGCGCAGTACCCGCGGTGATGACATCGTCGACAATAACCACCCGCTTGCCCTTCAACGGAGCACCGACGATGTTTCCTCCCTCGCCGTGCGCCTTGGCCTCTTTGCGGTTGAAAGAGTAGCTGACGTTATCCCAGGTTCCCTTGGGCGAGGGGGACAGTGAGTCCCGCACGGCCAACTCGTTCACCACGGCAGCGCAAATCGGAACACCCTTGTAGGCAGGACCGAAGACGATATCGAAGTTCGGGGTTTTGGTGCCATCAGCAGCAGTGCTGACGAAGGGTTCGGCGGCCAGGACGCTGGCGTAGGCGGCGGAGGTCGCGCGGAGCAATGGGGCCGTGTGCAGGAGCGACGAGGTGAAGAAGTAGGGAGATTCGCGGCCGGACTTCAGCACGTAGGATCCGAAGGAAAGGACATTGTTGGACATCAGGAGCGGGAGCAGCGTCGCCTTGTAGTCCTGGTCCGCGGCGGGGGGAGGGATGGTTGCGGCCGACATGGTGTGGGCTTTGTCTTTTCGTAGACGGGGAACTTCCGGTCGTTGCTCAAAAAAGAGGCCAAGGGTGAATTGGGGGTATAGTAATCAAGGCGGTTGTGGGGGTAGAGAAGTGACAGCGGTGAATTGAAGATCAAGAGGCAGTTTCGTGAGATTTTTTCTGGATTTCCCCATCCGGTATCGCAAAGGAATGAGGGGCTTTGCGACGCTCTCCGCCATTTTCATGGCATGTCTATGCGCATTCACTCTATATTCAAGTAAGGGTTTTAGCTACGAGAAATAGATCATAAACATTCCGAATCTCTGTTAAATGCCTGAAGTTGCTGGAAAACCTGCTGCTAAGTAACACTGCATCGGGGCCGAGACCAGTCACGTGACCAACCCCTCCGCTCTCCGCTCGAGGACATTCTCCCCGTCTCCTTCGCTCTTCTCTCCCTTCCTCAATTCCTCTTTATTGTGCCCAGTCCCCGTTTTTCTTCGTGGGCTATCCTTATTGTTTGTTATATCTTGCTTCTTGTTCTATTTCTCGCCTGTGCAGTGCGGGGATTCTTGTCAGCACGTCCTAAGCACGGCTCGGACCGGAGAATTGCCAAAGCTCAGGCTATCCTGGATTTTTCTCCCAAAAAGTTATTTTTGGTAAGCTTTGGAATATATACGCTCGAATTGATGTTGTTTCAGTTGCTGATTGACGCGGAATACAGTTAGCTATTCGAAATGCACGTCAAGGAAAAGCTCGCCCAGAATGAGGCCAACGGGAAGACGGGCATCTCGTTCGAATTCTTCCCTCCGAAGACGGCCCAAGGTGTGCAGAACCTCTACGACAGAATGGATCGCATGCACTCTCTCGGTCCCGAGTTCATCGATGTCACCTGGGGCGCCGGTGGTCGACTGTCCGATCTGACTTGCGAAATGGTGAATGTTGCTCAATCGGTGTATGGACTGGAAACCTGTATGCACCTGACATGCACGGACATGCCGCGGGAGAAAGTAGATGCTGCTCTCCACGCTGCATACAAGGCTGGGTGTACCAACATCTTGGCCTTGCGTGGTGACCCGCCGCGTGACAAGGAGCATTGGGAAGTAGCTGATGGAGGATTCCGCTACGCGAAAGATCTTGTTAAGTACATCCGGGACAAATATGGCAACCACTTCGATATTGGCGTGGGAGGTTATCCGGAAGGCGCGGACGACAACCCGGATGTTGATCTCTTGATCGATCACTTGAAGGAGAAGATTGATGCAGGAAGTTCATTTGTGATTACACAAATGTTCTACGACACGGACACTTTTATCAACTGGGTTAAGAAGTGCCGGGCTAAGGGTATCGCCGTTCCTATTCTCCCGGGTATCATGCCCATTCAAACATACGCGGCATTCCTCCGACGTGCGAACTGGACAAAGGCTCATATTCCTCAAGACTGGCTTGACGCCCTTGAGCCCGTGAAGAATGATGATGCAGCCGTGAGGGATATCGGAAAGACTCTGATTGCTAATATGTGCCGGCGACTTCTCGATTCTGGGTTGATCAAGCATCTTCATTTGTGAGTCTTGCCATCGCATGTCCATACGAAGAAATAGAGAAGGGAAAACTAACAGGAATGAAATAGCTACACGATGAACCTCCAACAAGCGACACAATTGGTCCTCGAAGAATTGAATCTTGTCCCGTCGGAAGAGACACCGCTCCCCAAACCTCTCCCATGGCGGCCGTCGCTTGGTCTCAAGCGGCGCGGAGAGGATGTTCGCCCTATCTTCTGGCGCAACAGGAACTCGTCCTACATTGCGCGTACTCAGACTTGGGACGAGTACCCGAACGGCCGTTGGACCGACTCCCGATCACCTGCATTTGGTGAGCTTGATGCCTATGGTGTAGGCCTGAAGGGTACGAACGAGCAGAACATCAAGTTGTGGGGCGAACCCAAGTCTGTGCAAGACATTACGACCATTTTTATTCGCTATTTGAAGGGCCAGCTGTCGCGACTGCCATGGAGTGACACCGCCATCTCAGGGGAGGCCAATGCCATCATGGAAAACCTGATCAACCTCAACAGTAGAGGCTTCCTTACAATTAACTCGCAGCCTGCTGTCAATGGTGCCAAGTCCTCACACCCAGTGCACGGATGGGGCCCAAAGAACGGCTACGTCTACCAGAAAGCATACCTCGAGCTGTTGGTGCCCAACGACGTGGTTGATGAGCTGATCTCGCGCATCGAGAAGAACGTGGACCTGACATACCACGCCGTCTCGAAGACTGGCGAGCTAAGAACGAACACTCTTGACAGCCCGAATGCGCTGACATGGGGTATTTTCGCGGGACGCGAGGTCATCCAACCCACTATTGTGGAAACGGTCAGTTTCCTGGCCTGGAAGGATGAGGCCTATCGTCTGGGCGAGGACTGGGCCAAATGCCACGACGCCGCCAGCCCAAGTAGGAAGTTGATCCAGAACCTCGTGGACAACTGGTCCCTCGTCAACATTGGTATGTTCTCTCTGGACTTTTTGAATGCCGTGTAGATGCTAACTTGGAAACAGTCAACAACGATTTCCACAACACTTACGATATCTATAAGTTATTTGATGGCTTGAACGTCAAGGATCTTGACGTTAAAGTCTCCGGGGATGCACCGGTACCTCAACAGAACGGAGCACCAGCGGAGGCTGCCGCAGCCAACTAAATGAGCGCTGCGGAATCGCGACCCTCGGATAGCATTCAGTACTCGATATGAATGCCTTTGACCGAGAAATCCCTACCTTCAACCTCTAATGCTATACTAATTCAACATCTATCTCAACGATATTACATTTCCAGGCATTGCAACGTGTTTATGGTGACATGACTGAAGACCTCTCAACGATTTCTTCTTAGCGAGCGATTTGACTTCAACAACATATACCCCCGCATTATTTTTCTTTAACGATTACATTCAACATAATTATTCTTTTTCTTCTCTTCCGATAGACGGAAACGGATTACGAAAAGGGCTGGTTTATTCAACACTACGGATTCGACGGAGTTGGGTTGCAAATGTGCATGGTGCTTCAAAAAGTGTGATCCTCTTCAACACGGGATATGGAGTCTCTGTTTGGATGGTTCGATGTATTTTCTTCGATGCATCTCTTGTTTCTTGGTTATGTATATTGTCTATTTCGGAAAGACTACTGGCAAGGTGTGATGTGGTGGACAGCAGGGGCGATAGAAATCTGTGATACAGATACCTCTGAATAAGATACCTATAGAAAAGCAAAAGAACATAAGCTGTTTATTTATCTTTATTGACTCTTGAAAGTGTTGGGGACGCATTCAATCTCACCTTCTCTTTCCGCGATCTCATGTGTGTCCTCGCAGATCCCTCATATCTTTAACACCTTCAACCATCCACTATCTGCAACAAAGCAGATATCAACTGATCAAGTGAATTTCTACAGGGAAGAGCGTTTCATCACAGATCTCGACTGGTTAAACGAATACCTTTGCACGATCTGTGGTTGATCGTTGCCCCTGCATCTTCGTTTCAGGGATCAGGCTGCCAGCCTTGCGAACCGCCGCATCTATGCTGATGATCAACGGATTAGGGTTAGACAAACCCGAGAAAAGTGTCTCTATTTGTCGCCTCGTCTGTATGCTTTTCTATTATTATAGCGATTTCTTGTCCCAAGGGATTGGGTTGAACGAGTGAGCCGCGCCAAGAGGTAAGCTCCTACACACAGCCTTCCCCAGGGAAACAGAGCTACTTCATTTTCGCATATAAATACCGCCTCCATTCATCATAACATTCTGCTTTTACTTCTTTCAAATTCATTATCAACCGGAAACATGCCCCCAAGAAAGGCGAACATGATTGAGCTCATCTCCCTGCGGCGAAATCATGATCAGCTGGCAGTCCACGACGAGGATGCTAATCCAATCCAACCCCAGCCCCAACACGCAGATTCAGAGACAGTCTGGGAAATTGGAAGGGCAGTCTCTATCTGAACTCGGTAATATGCTTTGTTGTTCTTTGTGTCAACGTGAGATTCTTTTCATGGGCGAACTCGTCCCAGAACGAATCAGTTCTTTACACCGGAGATTGTGACCAGGCGAAGCGGATGGGCACAGGTGCTCATTTGGTGATCAATATCTTAAGCACACTTATGCTGGCCGGGAGCAATTTTACAATGGTACGTTGATAAGACACATTCGGTAATGAGTGTCCAAAAATTGCTGATGTTGGTAACAGCAATGTCTCTGCGCGCCTACCAGAAAGGATTTGGACCGTGCCCATCAAAGCAACCGCTGGCTTGATATCGGAGCACCTAGTATACGGAATCTCCGAAGTATACCAAATTCAAATTATTGCTATGGTCCTGTCTTGTTCTTTCATCCCTCCCGTTGCATCTATTGTAGGGTTTGCACTTCCCACCATCCGCGCGTCGATAGGTAACTGACGGTGGAAAAGCTACAACTCAACAGTTTACTCAACAATCTCTGGAAATTCATACCAAGTATACATGGGAAATCCCACTTTCTCTTCCCTCAAAAGCTCTCAAGATCTCCCCTCCCTGTTCCGGAATCATTCTTCCATCTTTCACGTGCCCATAACCCAGGAGGCCAAGACAAGCAGATATCGAGATAAAGTACCTATTGATATTGGCAATGAGTACACCACAATAGGGAAGGGTTTATTTATATTCACGGGCAAAGTACATATGATAAAAAGCAGGCAGTCCATCGTTGAGCTGATAACGATGACCGCCACCGTCTTGGCTTCTCGTTATACCGGAGTTGGTCATCTTTGGTCCGTGGTCCTGACACAGATCCTCTTGAGAGCAGGCACTTGCCCTTTGTAACTTCATCAGGTCGCTTAATAAAAGAAGCCACCGCACCCCCAGTCGTCAAAAGAGGAGCACGCTTGAGATGAGACGCAGTCACACCGATCACAATCACTTTTACCAAATTGGCAATAATCACTATCAGCGCCAAAGAAAAGCTAAACTCGAGCGTACGCGTCTGAGGCAGCGCTTCAGCCAAGCAGTAGTTAACTTTTCTGCCATGCACCTTCCAGTCATTGGAAAGGGATTGCATTTGCGACATCTCTGAAATCTTCGAAGGACAGTTCTGCCGCTCGGTAATAGTTGCTAGAGAATTATCGCACATCCATGCATAAGGCACTTCATTTGCGGAAGTATCCATCACTCTCTCGACAGTCAACAGAACAAAGTCATCGGTCCAAATCCTCTCTGGTGGGCGCACAGAGACATTGCTGTTGGTCATGTTCAGGTTCTCCATGATCAGTACCAAACTGCCGTACTTGGTCTGGTAATATGAAGCGTATTCAGAAATGCAGTCGTATGGTGCTAGTTTTTGCAGGGTACCATTTGCCGATTTCTGTACCAACCTGGAAAGAGAAGATTCGGTTGCACATGCGAGCAACTGGCTCGTTGGTTTGGCAGCAATCGAGCCCATAGCCTTCATCAAAGGATTATACTGGCCGAGGACAATAATTCCAAACATACTGATTGCGAACGTCCCTCAACTTATCTTCTCAATTATCTACTTTATGGCGAACAGTGTATGGACCAGCATGGCCCTGGCTGCTGAATGGAGCAGTTACTCCATGCACCGGAAAGGTCTACGCGTCTCAACCTTCCTCCGCGGTCACCAACGAAATACTTATTTTCTATCCCTTCCATACCGCTACGCTTTTCCGCTCATTGCATGCTCCGGCCTCCTCCACTGGCTCATATCACAGAGCCTTTATGTCGTTGCCATCCGGGGTCACGGCCTTGATAACGAGAGACCCCTTTTTAGATTCAGCGACATGTGATTATTCGCCCATTGGAATCATCAGCAGTGTATCAGTGGGTGTCTTTATGCTGACCTGTCTTATCGGGATGGGTTGTCGACGGTTCAAATCGGGAATGCCGGTTGCTGGAAGTTGCAGTCTGGCTATTGCTGCTGCATGCCATTCCTCGTATGTGGAAAAGGACGATGACATTAGCGATGGGGATGACGATTCAGAGAAGCTAGGAGCAGAGTATCAACCGTTGAAGTGGGGAGTTGAAACTCTTATCCCGGGAGAGATTGAGGCTGAGATTGGGCATTGCACGTTTTCTAGTGGGGAGGTAGAAATGCCGCAGAATGGGACAGTCTATCTATGATGAGAGCCTCCCAAGGGCTGTTTTTAAATGCATGAGGCTCTCTTGTACGGAGCACTGTGCAAACTCTCGGGAGAAGCTTTCTTAACCCTAATTCTTTGTTACGCAAGCGGGACTATACGACAAGGGTGACCTGTTAATGCTATGCAATCTAACTATAACTAACTGATAATACAATCTTAAGAAGAAGACAACTATAGAAAGCAACACAGAAGCAAATAACCAACCATAAATGGTTCACCAAGCTTCAACACGCTTGCTGGTCGCATCGAATCACGGCACAAGCGCTCTAGCCACCAACCCAAGCGCCCACCCAAAAGGTTTCGCCATCCATACCACCCAACTCCCCACAATAACCACATACCCAGCAGCCCTGCCAATGATAATCATCATGAACCCCAGCGAAATAAGATAAACAGCGGCCTGCGCTATATCTGTGAGGGAATCACAAAGATCCCCATTGCCCGACTTTGGCCAGGACCCTGTGGATCTGTATGTGGAGAAGGCGAGGGAGATGTGTCTGGTGACGTGGGCGCAGTGCTCAAGCATCTTCACAACGCTTTGCAAGATCACCTGCGGACACTCGTTGCCTAGGAAATCGCTGGAGAGGCGTTGAATGTATGCGATGGAGAGGATTAGGATGTCGAAGAGGAGGGCTAGTGTCAGGGGGTATGCTGCGTCTTCGTTGTCACTGTTCTCAGCATTGTCGGGAGGATCGGCCGTAGCGTCTTGCGCTGTCTGTTTGGCTTCCCCATCGAGTTCGGCGTCCACGATTCTCGTGCTCGAAACCTTGTCATTTTCTTCTGGGGTAATCGATGAGACTGGAGACACGTTCTTACAAGACGTTTCGGAGTTGACCAGAGATGGGCCGGAAATAATTCTCTTTTCCCCGCTGCTGCTTTTGCTCATCGGAACCGACATCGATGACTGGCGTTTATTCGTGCTCGTGCTTTGCTCTGTGGATGACTTCCCCATTCCCGGAAAGCGCATGATCCCACGGATACCTCGGGGAGATTCAGAGTTCCGCTCGGTTTTCCCGCGGGTCTTGTTAATGGAAATGTTTGTGATATTTGACGGAGACTTGGAGGGAATGTTTTGATTATCGTCGTTCTTTTCGCGTGGCCTTGGTATTCCTCGCCGTAGCCCAGACGGTGGTGACCTCGATATAGGTTCCCGAGACGTTGGTGTCGAGTCGCCAGTGGTTCGAGAGTTTGATTGTGGTAGCTGCGAGGATGATCTCTTATATCTTGTCTTACCGCTAGCCATGACTGGAGCGCGCGAGACAGTTGCCGTGTTCATGAAAATATCGTCTTCTTTTAGGTTGTCCTTGCTGTCCGCGGCGAGTGAATTCCGCGAATTCTCCTTCCCAGAGGTTTTTGGCGCCTGGCCTTTTCCCTGCGGCTGACACACGAGCTCTTGACACATGGTCTTGGGAGCCTGCTTTGATCGTTGACCATTCATCAAGTTATCGGAGAGAGATCTCCATTCCCTATACGCCATGATATTGTCATCCATATCTCCAGGGACACGATGACCAGTCGGTTTTGTTTTCGCTCTTGGCTTCCTCGAAATCGGTGCTGAGATATCGATGACTTTCGGGCGCTCAGTCGTGGTCGAGAAGAATAGGATCTCATCTGGATTCTTCTCTCCTGGACCGATCTCTTTGCATCCCAAGAAGGAGCCATCCGGAGTAGCGTCGGGATTTTTTTGCTTCGTTTTCGAAGGAGCCTCCTCCCATATTGTGCTGCACCGTTTCTTTCCGATTTCTTCGGGCGAATAGTACCTTCCAGGCTGTAGAGGGTTGGTGGCATTGCCATTTGTCTTGTATTGCTTTTTGTCTTCCGGGTTAGAATCGTCACGCTCAGATGTCTTCTCTGATGTATCGGTCTTGCCCTCTGGTGTCGTGGTACGCGGGCTAGGGCAAGTATCAGGATGAAGCATATCTCCTCCCTCTCGTCGCACCTTCTCCATGCTCTTCTGAAACTCAACGATTTGCTGAGCCGTCAGGAATGGCGGGTTTGGTTCTGTAGCCGATGGCATATTGACCACGAACTTATCCTCCCACTCGGTATTCGAGCTAGCACGACCTGAGACTGACGAGGTAGAAAATTGTGAATGGGCGGATGAATCGGTAGTGTTATCGGTGATTTCAGACGGCTGTCGGGAAGGGGATTTCTTAATCTGGAGAGCGGGGTGCTCATATTTTTGTTGCTGTTGCTGTTGCTGTTGCTGCTGCTGCTGCTGTTGTTGTTGTTGTTGTTGTTGTTGTTGCTGCTGCTGTTCCTTCTGCTTCGGAGGCTGACGGATAGCTGGGGTGCGAGTGATACCTCCAGAAGCACTCCGAGCCCGATTGCTAGGACTAGGAATACCAGATGTTCCTGGTGTAGGAAGTTTGGTGTCGCTCGCATTGGCTTCACCATACTTCTTGTTCTTAGGTGTTTCGTTTCGCGGGCCGTTCGCAAATGATTTGATTTTCTGGTAAGCCCCTTGGTAGTATTCCTTCTGCTTCTCTTTGCTCTTTTGTAGCAACGGCGAGTCCTTATCGAGCTTCCCACGGATCTTGCTCCAATGGTGATCGTGGGTCTTCTCCGTCGGCTTTTCCGGGGTATTTTCAGTTGTCGAGGGGGGTGTGTCCGACTTCTGGAGTGGCTTGTGCTTTGGCCTCCCATCCTTCTCCTCCTCCTCATCTTCGACATATGGCTGCTTGTCCTTCCATTTGCCTTTGCCCTTATCCATGAAGCTCTTGGGCAACGGCAGCTTCGTAGCTAACCCGGATGGACTGGTCTGCGGCATCTCATTAGGGCCCAGCCGCGTCGTAGTCTTTTCTTCGGTCCCGTTCGAAGGCACTCGCTCTCGACTCTGCGGCAGTTTTGAATTAGCAGTAATGGCAGGCTGTCGATTTGATTTGCTGTTATTACGAAGCCGCGGGTTCAAGTTGAGAAGATGTTCGTTGGGTAGTTGAAAATCTTTCTCCATGTTGCCAATTCTTTTGGAAAGAGTAACAATGACTATCAATAGATTTGACTCTCAGGAGATAATAAGACTCTGGGCCAGCCCATACCGTCCGAACGGGAGGTTGGGGCTGGTGGTGAATTGCCTGGTTCGAAGTGGCTGTAGAATGGTTACGTCGTTGGAAGTACCATATGGGGAGGGGGGGGGGTTAAGGAAGGGAGTGGTGAGAAAGCACGGAATTACATTGCGGCCGCACGCTGCTTTGCTCGTGCTCATTGGTAATTAAGTGCATATGTAATGAGGGGCGTTGGAATGTTATTCCAATCAAACTGGTCATGCTCAGGAATGTACCGGGTGCACAAGGTCGGGGACGCCGGGAATGCAAGCCAACGCTTCGTATGCCGTAGCCGGTATGTCGACATTTCGATATATGGTCATTGTATCAGGTCATATGCATATCATTCTGCTTCTAGTCGGTGACATTTAGCAAGAGTTAAATGACGAGTCGGGAGACATCATGGTCGAGGCACTCCTTATTCTCTCCCATAGACATTCTCATTGAACTAACTGACAAGGGGCATGACATGACTTGATAGACAATGCACTGTTCCTTCGCCTTGAAGAGTTAGATGCGATAGATGGTGGTTTCATGATCGATTTCCTGTTTGGGTGACATTACTAAGTGGAATTCAGACACAAGCCCTATCAGTTTCCAACAAGATTTTAGGCGGGAAGATGCATAGGCAGTTGCGTTTGCAATGATATCTTCTGTTTAAAAGTACAGAATACATGTTATATAGGACTGGTCCCAGCAAACCATGCGGTTGCCCTCAAGAACAGAAACAAAAGTAAAAAGACAAGATTATAGAAACAAAAAGCCCCGAAACGCCACGCCGCGCCCAATGCTATGACAATACTAAAAGACCATGCTCCCCCAAAACTCCCCAATGATCCATATATACTATCCCAAGAGATCGCACCCATTACCTCCTAAAACCGTCCAGTATCACGACGAGCACTGTATTGGCCTGCTGAACTGGCACCGCCAGGTACAATGCTCTTCTTCAATGGGCTTGATGATCTCTTCAACGGAGTCCCACGTTCCTTGTAGAAGAAGTCTCCGCTGTTCTGGACGCGGCGTTCAGGATTTGTCGACGTAGCTTTCCGAAGAGGCGAGTTGGCATGAGAATAGATACCGAGACTACCTCCATCGCCGGTGCTGGTCGTGGCAGGCCTGAACTGCGGTTGTCGCATAGAAGTGACAGAGGGACGTACGGCAGGCGAGGCATCACGCAAGTGGCTGGGTGTTTTATAAGACGTAGTTGTCGGGGTTGTGAAAGGTTGACGTCTGGGAGTGACTCCTTCGGGGTCGACATGGCTAACGTAGTTTGGATGGGGACTGGTCTTGAATCCGCGCTGAATGACGAATGTCGGGGTAAATGTATCAACCCGATTGGCTTTTTGTTCCTCTTCAGAGAACTGGGTGCCAACGTCTCTCATCAAAGGCTGCGTACGGGGATGCACATATTTATTGTCGTACTCTCGAAGGACTTCCTTCTGTACCAGCGCAGAATCCTTTGCTTGCTGGGTAAACGACGAAGATAGGAAAGACATTTGCACCGATAGCAAAGCCGTCAAGAACAACGTAGTGACGATAGTAACGCTAGGCCGAGGATCAGACACCTGAGTAGGCAGGAAAAGCCAATAAACCAGAACATGGCCCGGGCTGAACATGCCAAACATCCGAACGCAAATCGGCAATGGATCCCAGACTGCAAGCTCCCAGACATCCCGCTGCGCATCAGGATGCGCCCTCGACTCGGCTGACCCCGAAATCGCATTCGCAAAGTATCGCAACGGGGAGGCTGCCATGGGAGTTGAATCCACACGCACTCGTTGAGCAGAAGGGGTCGCGGGGGCTTGGTCGATCGACACTTCGAACATGCGGTAATGGCGTTTGCGATAGAAGGTATAGAAGGCATTGAAGCCGGAGAAACCAGCCAGTAGGTGAACGACGAAGGACGCCTAAGCACAAACTTCCGTTAGTTATGCAAGTTTCTCCTGGCAATCCAATCCAATCTCAAAACGACGCTAGGTTCTTTGCAAGACATACAAACCAACTCAGCCAGGGAACTCCTCCATCGTCACCGAAGACGTCATCCACGGCCTCGCTGCCACTGGGCCTGCTATTCGCTCTCGCAATCAAAAAGACCACATTCAATGCTACCCCGACAGGCAGCGCCCAGTCCTTCTCAAACTGATCCCAGTCATTCGCATCAATTTCTCCCGACAACCACAAGAGAAAGTCCAACGGATTCAGGTAAGACATGATGCGCTCCCCCAACGGTTGGCGGCGTACGAGCCGGGGCATGGTGAATGCGATGCGAAAAGGAGGAAGCAGGAGAGAATATTGAGCTGGCAGCTGAGAAAACCAGCTTGATCTGCGCTTGTTTAGCGGGATCAGGAGATCACTAAGTCCAAGTTGTTGGTACAGTCTGGCCTAAGAAAAATCCAAAGAAAAAGATCCAGACAGCTCTTCCGTAGCGATGGTGTAAACACAGAAAGCGGCGGCCCGGAGATCGGCTTACATAATCCAGTCTCCGACAGCTAACTAGTTAATGACGACGTCCGGTCGAGAACAGCAGTTGGAGTACTTCTATTCCCTCGTTGCTTTGTTCTATACTTGCTGGGTTTGAGGAGGATTTTGTGAACCGAGTCCTGATTACTTGAAGTGTTTGCCGCGACGTTCTTCCCTTCACTTCTCCCATAATGACGGCTCAGGTGCGTCCAATATCCATACCACGGAAGCCAGAAGAGGACTGACTGGAATAACAGGGCCGACAATTCCTTGCGGTCATCGGTGATGAAGAGTAATACAACCTGCGATATTGAGAACCGATCCTTTACTGACATTGTGTCCCCGTCATCAGCTCCGTAACGGGTCTTCTCCTTGCGGGCATTGGGGTAAGTACAAGAAGACGAGAAATGATCCGATATCAAAGCATTGTATACTAACATAGTCCTGTCTCTAAATAGCACGTCACAGATGGCCCGGAGGCCCAACGAAACTTCCTAGTCGTCGACTCCAAGACCGAGACATCCACGATCGAGAAAGCGTTTAACGACTTCACGAAGGAGAGACAAGATATTGCCATCGTTTTGGTCAACCAACATGTTCGTCTCATCCATCGTACGTCCCGGGTTGTCACATACTGATAAATTGGATGTTATAGATTGCGGAACGCATCAGGGCAAGTGTCGACTCGTTCGCCGAACCATTCCCCGCCGTGCTCGAGATCCCAAGTAAAGACCACCCGTACGATCCGGACAAGGATAGTGTGCTGAAGCGGGTGCGACGGCTGTTTGGAGAGTAAACTATGGTGCTTTTATGTTTTCTGGTTGCTTCTTCTTTCTGTTGTTGATCTATCTATGCTATCCGGTGCTTGGGGAACAAATACGATAACGCATTATCACGAGAATCGATATAGTGGCGAAGGGGGCTGAGGGCAGAGGGCAGAGGAGAAGAGATACCCAAACTCGTCCTGCAAATGAAATGTCTGCATATATGAATGATACGACTATCCATCGGCCATTTATGCGATAATAATATATGCAATGTTATTACGCTGTTACAACGTGCAGAACTAGCTAACATGCAGTTAATTGCGATAGACCTTAGCAAATGTCACAAACGCCCAGAAGTCATAACACCATGAGGGTCTAGTAGCGTCTACTCCGTACTGCAAACGGAAGAGCATAGGGTTGTTGGCACATTATGGGATCTCGTAAAGGACAGACAGCATCGCTGGGAAAAGCAAAAAGCATCAGGTGTGCAAACAAAACACTAATATCAGGGCATCGTTAACTAAGGCAGGCAACAACAATAATCCGTATTCGACATGACCGTGAATGGGGGTATAAATTTAGCGTTTGAACTTGAATTCAATGTTCTGAGCTTCAAGGCAGGTAACCTGCTTCTCGTCGTTGTTATAGACATCGGCGTGAACAGAGTATTTACCCTAATTAGACAAATTAGCTTGCGTTGTTATAAATATCCGTATTCTAGTCACATACCGGCGGAATCTGCTTGGGCAAATCGACCTGCGTCTTCAGAACCATGTCACCCTTCTCCAACGGGCAGTGGAGGTCGACGTTTTCAATTTGCTCGCAGAGGTCGGCGGTTTGTCTGATAAGGGTGATCAGGCCATACTTGACCTCCAAGAGCACGGTAGCACCCTCCTCGATTCTTTCATGCAAGGTACCCGCAGCCTCGATGACAAGAGTTTTACCACTAGACACAAGTATTAGATTATGAACGGTTATCCGTATCGTTTAGGAGCATCGATAACATACGGGAGAGGGGGGTTCGGCGTCAAGTCGACCGATTTGATATCCAAGCTGTAGCTCGACGGGTCGGCGCAGTAAGTCAACGGGTTGTTTCCTTTCACGGGAATATCACCAGCAGTCTTGATCGGGGTCTGGGAGATGTCAAAGAACGCGGGAGCACGAGCTTGGAGGGATCCAGCAGCGGAAACGGGGGCGAGAAGGCCGAACAAGGCAGCGGTAGCTGATAAGAACTTCATTGTCGCGGGATGATAAACTGCCGTTGTCCTTCTTTCACGAAGTGATTAGAAGGCAGGGAATAATCGCAGTGTCTGGAGTAAATGGCTAGTTAAAAATCTTGTGTTGGGAGAAATTCAGCGATGGCGAGATGGGGAGAAAGAAGTGCATTGGAGAGATCGTTGCGTCGGATGAGGAGAAGCGGTGATGGTCACACGTGATGTACTACGCACCTGACCACGGCATATCACAGGATTCGGCTCTTTTTTTTTTTTTTTTTTTTTTTTTTTTGGGGGGGGGGGGGGGGGGGGGGGGGGATGCCGTTTTGTCTATAACTGTCTTGATCCTGATTACGACTTGACATTCTATAATGCAGCAACGTAGCATAATGGACTTAGATCTATCTTAGGATACCTTTGATTATAGCTGTCGGGTGACCCACTGATCTTATCACCGTAGCGATATCGGATGTCGATATAGTAGTACAAGCACAGACAAAGATTTCACAAACTCATCATTAATATAATTACATTCATAAGTTTATACCCTAGTGCTCGGAAACAAAGATACCAGCCATACCCATGCCTGTTCCAACACACATCGAAGTCACTGCGACTCTCTTGTCCTGTCGCCGCAACTCAGACAGAGCAGTAACAACCTGGCGTGCACCAGTGCAACCCAGCGGGTGACCAAGAGCACTTGAACAATCAGTTAGCTACCAGTCGGATACAATGAGGAAAGCAGTCACTTACATGGCACCACCACGGGGGTTGACCTTGGCGAGGTCGAGTCCGAGCTTGTTAACACAGTAGACACCCTAGGTTAAATTAGCCGTTTGTTTCTTGTTTTCAGGACCGAATTATACTTACCATAGATGCAAAAGCCTCGTTGATCTCGAAGACATCAATGTCTTCCTTGCTCAGGTTGAACTTGGAAAGAATCTTAGGAATAGCGAGGGATGGCCCAATACCCATGATACGGGGCTCCAGACCTGCAACGGTAGCTCCGCAGAACTTGGCCACGATGGGCTGTCCCAGAGCCTGCGCACGCGATCTCTTCATGAGAAGAAGCCCAGCTGCACCATCGGTGATCTGACTGGCATTTCCACCTGTCGTAGCACTGGGCTTCCACTGGGGGAACGCGGAACGGACCTTGCCCAGCGACTCCGGAGTAGTACCATAGCGAATACCGTCATCCCGGTTGACAACCACGTCCTTGACCTCACCGGTCTTAGGGTCCTTGATCTTAGTCTGGACAGGGACGATCTCGTCGGTCGTCCAGCCGGACTTCTGCGCATGTTCGGCCTTCTGGAAACTCTTGGCAGCAAACTGGTCATGCGCTTCACGGGGAATGTTGAACTGAGCGGCGACGTTCTCCGAAGTCTGACCCATGGGCTGCTGGTTCTGCGACGCAATCGGGTGCGACAAGATCTTATCCGACATCTCTGGTGCACCGCCATCGGGGGTGGTGCTCATGCTCTCAGCGCCCACCGCAATACCAACGTCAATCGAGCCAGCGATGATCTGGTTGGCGATGTTCTGAACTGAGAGCAAACCGGAGGAGCAGAATCGGTTCGCGGTGGATGCAGCAGCTGTCACGGGGTATCCTGCGGCGAGAACGGCGGAACGGGCGACATAGGCAGAGCCAGGAGCAAGGACGTTGCCGACGCAGACATCCTCCACGAGGTTGGGGTCGAGGTTGGACTTTTCGCGGATAGTCTATACACAAATAGATGTCAGGTACGGTGCTTCTCATAATAAGCAATTGGTTGAGACATACCGTCAGAAGCGAAATGAGCAAGTCGTCAATGGAGGTGTCCTTCAATCCACCCTTCCGGGACTTGGTAAGAGGAGTGCGCGCAGCGTATGTGATGACCTATAACAGATTCTTAGCCTCGGTCCTAGAAAGAATCACCATGTCGACTTCTACCTACCACATCATCGGGGTGCTTGGACAGGAGTTGTTGTCTGGCGGCGGCACCTCCAGACACCTGGTTTGTGATAGAAGACAAGCGTTGCTGTGGCGAAGACATGGTCGCGATGATAACCGTTTTATTTTTAATGGGAGGATGGAATAGGAATGACAGAGCAACTTAAAGAGTGTCAAGAATCAATTCAATTCCCTAAGCCAGTATTTTGTACTACGGGGTCCGGGGCATTATCCATATTTGCCCGTACGGACCGCGGCATCTGGGACCTCAAGATATTAAGCCGAACCGAAGGTCACTTTACTCCGGGGTACAGTGACTCGTCACGCCAAATGATCGCCGGATCCAGGCGCATGATAATGATCCAAGGACATCGCAGACTCTCATAAACGACGCTTTTTCCTTCTCTTGCCTCCTTGCGAGAACCGATATACAATGCCGTCCATAATTACAGGATCCTGTATGATACTGTCACAACGGACGCCTCGGTTCTCGGTGTTGTAGATCCAGCGACGATTATTGGTCGAAAGCGGTTTGGCAGTATGTATTGGGGTGACAAGACGATTCGGTGGAGATAAACGGCTATGGCGATAAGAAAGGCATCCAGAATCAGACTGTCTTGATATGGACTCCATACAGTATGGGGACAGAATGGAGAAGGAAGCTGGCCTTCGTATTGGCCATGATGTTACGCTCATGGCATGCAGCACATCATTATGTCTAAACCCGGGTATGGAGTACACAGATACAAACAGCTAGTTTGGATCGAGGTCCACGGCAAAGAGACTAACCGGGGAAACGAGTACCTGGGGACATTACGGGAGTACAGTACGGAGTACCCCATACGCATTCCAGACCGGCAAATCGCGTAGCTAGCGGACCCCGCGTCCAGACTCCGGTTTGGAGGTCGCTATTAGTCTGACCAGATATAACTTCGAGATATTACCAACTGCGTAGTCCGGTATACCTTTTGAGGACGCAAGGGCTATCGTTGCTTGAACCAAACCAGAAAATTGCCACAGAGGCGATTGCACGCAACGATTCGGATACTACGGAATACTCTTATGATCTATACCAACTAATCAGTGCCGCATAATATCATCAACGGAGCTCATGGATATCCTCTCCAACATCAGCGCGCCATCCATGGCGATGGCATCAGCCCTTGCGGTGACAGCAGGGGCCTATCTCGATGCGAAGCTCGGGGTTTCTACAGACATTTCGTCAATTAGGAACGATCGTTCCTGGATGAAGCGATTGGGCCAGCACATTGCCGACTTGGGAGACTCAACGACAATTTATAGGATGCTGGAGCGTGCAGTGGATGTGGATGGACATGGTTCAAGGGAGGCACTATGGTTTGAACACAAGACCTGGACCTATTATCAATTGAAGGATCGTGAGTGTATCCCTGCACAATTGCTTCCGCGCGGAATATACTGATGAGAACGTGCAGTGGTCGACCGAATGGCAGCTTTACTTCATGCCAGGGGCCTCCAATCCGGCGACGCAGTTGCCGTATTCATGACCAATTCCCCTGAGATGGTTGTTATGTCGTATGCTTGTGCAAAGCTGGGTGTCGTGGCTGCGCTTATCAACACAAGTTTGCGAGGTATGTACTGATGTTCCTGTGAGCATCACTTTACAGAAAGAACTAACGTGCGTCCTACCTTAAAACAGATGACACATTCATACACTGTCTCAACGTTTCCCAATCGAAATCAATCATCTCAACACCGGACTTGTCGCAGTTTGTATGCTCCGACTTGCCTCATTTTGCGCTGAGCCTTTCATCCTTCGAGGGAGTCTCACCCGGACCGGTCGAGCTCGTCACACCAGCCGACTTGCAAGAATACTCGTCCTCAGGAATTGCAGTGGCTAAGCAGTCTCCCAGCGATATCGTTGTGCTCATTTACACCTCCGGCACGACGGGGAAGCCCAAAGCCTGTGCTATCAGGAATATGCTATCATTGGTCACATCCACCCCTCAGACCGTCGATGTTGACAATCCCTCCAAGTACTACCCCTTGCGCACCTACTCTCCCCTTCCGCTCTTCCACGGCACCGCATTCTTCACTGGTCTATGCTACTCGGTTGGCAATGCATCCACATTGTGTTTGCGCCGCAAATTCTCCGCCTCACAATTCTGGAAAGATGTCCACGATTCAAGAGCCACTAGAATCCTCTACATCGGAGAACTCTGCCGTTACCTTCTAGGAACTCCTTCGTCCCCCTATGACAAAGACCATTCGTGCATTGTAGCCGTCGGAAACGGTCTACGAGAAGACATCTGGGAAGTCTTCCGCCAGCGCTTCGCAGTCCCCGAAATCCGAGAATTCTACCGCTCCACAGAAGGAGTAGCCCGGTTCGACAATTGGGGTGTTGGTACATGGGGCGCCGGAAAGATTGGGTTCTCGGGCGCTATCAAGCGATACCTCGAGGACGAGGTCTTCATCGTCAAATACGAGACTGAGACGGAAATGCCCTATCGCGACCCACAGACGGGATTCTGTGTCAAGGCTGCGCTTGGAGAGGAAGGAGAGGCCATTGGACGGGTTAGGGACCGCGGTATGCTTATCGAGTATCTTCACAATGAGGATGCGACGGAGAAGAAACTGCTTCGCGATGTGTTTGAAAAAGGAGATATCTTCCAACGCTCGGGAGACTTGGTCGTCCGGGATAGCGCTGGATGGGTGAAGTTCCAGGACCGAGTGGGAGATACTTTCCGGTGGAAGGGCGAGAACGTCAGCGCGGGAGAAGTTCGCGATCATATCTGTTCAATTCCAGGTGTCTACGATGCAGTGGTCTATGGCGTGAGGCTGAATGGGTAAATTGCACACCCTCATTTGAAACTCAAATGATTAACCAACCCTCTGATCACAGGTACGACGGCCAAGCCGGCGCCGCAGGAGTCACCCTCCAAGACGCATCCGCAGCCACAGAGAACGAATTCATCAGTGACCTCCATCGTCAGCTCAGAACGAAGGGCGTACCAACGTACGCCGTCCCACGCCTCGTGCGACTGGTCAAGAAGTACGCCCACTACCTACCTCCACAACCACATGCCAGAGGACAATTTGCTAACATGTGTTCTAGGGTCGCAACCAGCGCTACCTTCAAGCAAGCCAAGGGTGATCTGGTCAAGAAAGGATGGGATCCTGCCGACACCAAGGGGGATAAGCTGTACTGGCTGAATGGGACGAAATATGAGAGACTTGATGCGCAGAGTTGGTCGTCGATAGAGAGTGGGCAGGCTAAGCTGTGATCAATCTCTGGTGTATTTGGTTTTTATTTTGGTCATTAGAATGTTTGTATATAGGTTTGGATATACCTTACTAGGACTTATAGGGCTCTGCAAATGTAATATCAACACTTTATTAGATGGAATTCCACTTGCTAGTTGGAAAGTGAGAGAATAGTGTCCTATTCTGTGCACAAAAAGTGTTACGAATGCTCATGATGAGTGGACGTGCTCCATATATATATTCGAAAAAGACTGCCTGCCTGGTATTTGAGATAGATATCAACATTGTAAATAATTCAATCCACAGTTTTTGTTTTGAAGAGTACAGAAAGAGTAGAAAAGAACTCCAGCCCATGCTATGCCTAAGCGCCTCGAGAAAAAGAAGAAACCATTCAGGAACAACATAATTATATCATTCAATCCTCTGCATCTTCTGCAGATTTGCTCTTCTTCTTCTTCTTCTTTTCCTTCTTTTCGGAGCTCTCGACGTCTGGCTCAGCTTCAGACTCGCGCTTTCTCTTCTTCTCTTTTTTCTCTTTCTTCTCTTTCTTCTCCTTCTTCTCCTTCTTTTCCTCCTTCGCGGCAGCATCTTGCTCCTCGGGTGCAATGAAAGCCTTTTCGCGTTCCTTCATCTTCTCCTCGCGCTTCTGGCGCTGTTTCTCCATAACCTCCTCCTTGTGCGTGCGGTCCTTGGCCTCCTTGGACAAGAAGTACTCGCCCGACTCGATCTGCAAGTCCACCTTGCTCTTCTCCGGCGCAGGAGGGAAAGGAGTGTACACCTTCTTGGACTTGTCGGTGACCTTGGCCGGCTGGTGACGCTTCGAGAGAGTGCGCTTCTTGAAGTTGGGCAGGAATCGGTCCCAGGATTCATTGACGAGAGTAGGGTCCTTGGCGAGTTCTCGCTTGATCATGAGCTCTTTGATATGGTAGATCGGGTGGATGTTGGCCATGCAGTCGTTTACGATACGGCGAACTTCCTTCAATCCTTTGAAGGGGCCCATGGTGGAGACGGTGTTTCCTTGGACGAGGATGTAGGTGCTGGTGAGGAGCTCGAGGGCTTTCAGTGTGGAACCTTGGGGGCCCAGGATACGTTGACGACGCTTGACGAATCGTTCCTTGTTGCGAACTTGGCTGCGGATCTTGATGATGTCGCATGCGTATCCGTCTTCGAGGATTTTGAGGGCCTAGCGATCGGACGATGTCAGTCTCAAGCAAACCACATGAGGGAAATAAACGGCACTGACCTGTTGCACAGGCACACTTCTCGACAGCAACTTGATAAGATCACGCGCCTTCAGAATTGCAGCAGGGTCGAAAGTCTTCCGGGTCGTCTTGACAGTCATGCTACCCTCGACCAAGTCCAGAGTGCACGCGATTCCAAGCTTCTCCAACGCTCTCGTGATAACCGGCCATGCTTCCTTCAAGTAGACTTCACGGTATTTGGGGAAAAGCGTAGCGAAAGACGATTCCTCTGCAAAACTTCCGCCAAGGTTGTCATCGGCTTTAAATGCTTCCTCCTGTTGTCGCAAATTTGCGGATTAGCAAAAGCAAGGGAAAAAAAAAAAAAAAAAAAAAAAAAAAAAAATCATTTGGAACATGGAAAAAATCCCTATGCTGCAGACGCACCTTCCACTTATCAATATCGTCCGTGTCCCACGGCTTTTCTCTTTTATACGTCGACGGCATTTTGAGGTCTGTGTTGCAGCTGATCGGAAGAGTCGAATGGAATGGGTGGTTTTCTGACCATTTCCAACTTTTTTTCTGCCCGCCCAGAGCGGCCGCTTACCCGATTAGGATATTATTTGTAGCCATGTAATCAAGGCATTAACAAAGCACCCTTAAGGCATCAAGTTCTAAATCTTGCGCCGTAAGCGCCCAAGCGCGTCTATAGAGGACGTCGAAAGAAAAGAATGGTCCATGTTCTCTGTATCGTGCTTTCTCCATGCTATTTGCTGGCGATAAAGGATCACTGCTTGTCTCGAGATATCCAAAGTATGAGACTCCCGAATGCCGGCAGAGATGTGAAATACGTGCCAGCCAACTTGAGATGATCTTTGCTACTTGACGCTTGGTGATATCTTTGTATCCTTCTTTGAGACCTGAGCATGAGAAATTATACCACACTGCTTTCCCAGAGACTATGAGAGCTTCGGGAGTATTTTGGTGGTCTCTTGATATCCGCCCATCTCGGTTTGCCTACATGAGCTCTTCTATTTAGTATTACATGATCAGTCCCGAGAATCAAGCGAATTGCAAACCAGAACCCCTGATTATATAGAGCTTTTTTCATTCGATTTTGTTGGAGGGATGTAATCGAGCAGAAGTGTCAATTGGGGGCCAACCATGGTCCAGACAAGACGCCATGGAAGTTGTATAGTAATGATCATTTGCCGTAAATTGTAGACAGAGAGCAATAAATAAACATTCCTGTTTTCATTTTACTGCAGTGGCCAATGCTGAGGTTCAAATGTTGGGCATCAACTGGTGTTCGTATGCCTGTCCCAGCAGTTTGGTTCCGTACCCGCGACGGCGCTTCTCTTCCCCCTGCTGAACTTCTCTTCCTTCCTCAACTTCATTCTCTTTTGCTTTCCATCATTCTCATCTCTGGTATTGATTTCATCCCTTCTCACATCGTGATCTGTCGAGAGATGACTTTCTGGTCATTATCATTAGCCCGATTCCCGTGAGATCGGGCTTGCATTCTCCCAGATCTTCTCATCTAAGCTCCCCTATCACAGACGGCATAGCAGCATCTCCAGGGCCATTATGGTCCTTCATCAGTACTTCGTTCTGCGATGCTAGGTTGATCTCGAAGGATGAGACGTCTTGATGGTGCACTTCTACTGCAATAGAGGTGCGTTGTCCACTCCGTGCGTTCGTACTTGGAAGTTATCACTGACTCTGGATAATTTCCTGTCGTTCTAGCAGTCGAGAAACTTATTTGACTCATCCCGAGATTGCAAAATTCCTCGAGCTACGATATTCTGCACCGTTGCTCCGTGCCAGCCAGGTGTTCACTTGATCCACACGCCGTCCGATTCCCGAAGCTAGTCCATTCTAAGGCCTTGTGGTGCTTCCGCGTCCGGGCGTAGATCATGGGTAAGACACACTGATTTTAGTCTATATCTCGGTGGAAATATCAACGACGCGCAGTTGCGAACTGCTGGGCCAGTTTGTTTGGCGGGATGACTATTGCTATGGACAAAAATGCTCAAAGGCGCAGAATAAGGGGGTATCAAGAAAAAAAAGTCTAAACTGACCGTTCGTTTTGCTCGTTACTTTAATCGTGAAATAGAGGAAGAAATATCTAACATGATAGCGGCACCGGGCTTTCGCTAGCTAAGCCAATGTGCAACCTCCCTTGTGCGAGAACCTGCTTAGCGGGCGAATCTACCGATTAAGATTCAATGCGCATGTCCACACAATCCTTATACTCATGGCTTTCGTCCAATACAGACATATCTAGGCTGTCAGACAATTGTTTTCCAGATCACGTTTTGGGTGGACCGTCACCTACACGGGGAAATATGCCTTGATTCTGGGGTTGTCGGCTTCATGCGCGGCCTCGGTCACCAGTGCTTGGAATTCCTCCTGAGGCATACGCTGCCGTTGTGTCAAAGGGTAATATGCCAACGCTGAAAATAAGCGCTTGACGTTTTCTCGATTTGCCATGCCAATTTCTCGCATTCGTGGATCTGGAGCAGTCTCAGAAAAGGTGTCGGCGATAGTAAGCAGGTGAAATGAAATAGCGCACTTACCACCCGACCATGCACTGAGTGGCAGTGGGATCATCCTCGCGTCGACGTCTACCAACCCTGCTCCCATCATGAGCGCTTTTAGCCGCGTTCCCACACGGAGGTCCTTGGTGTCTTCCAGTGATCTCATGAACCTCGCGCTCCACTGCCTTAGGCCATGTTCTTCGGTGATCGAGCCGTTGTCGGATTGAACGTTGAAATATATCTCGACTACTTGTACCCAGCCACCCGGTTTCAGAACCCTAGGAGACCCGTGTAATGTTAGAATGCGGTAATTTATGGGATCTGACAGTAGCTATCCTAGTCAAAAGTCGTACCTTCTGATGTCTTGAAAATATGACTGCCACCTTGAACGGTTGAGCCCGGTTGCGAGGAGCCTCGAGTGGACAAGATCAAACCAATTCGAATCGAAAGTGAACGAGCGGTTCAGATCGTCGACCTACATAAGATAGGGTCAGTATCATTTCTTGCACAGACCCTGCTTATAACCTTGGAACAAATGGGGGGCTCTGGTGAAGCAAGCAAGGAGAACGACAGATCTCTTCTAGGGAGTCGATTTTTCAATGCCCGGAAGATAACACTTGGAATCAGAACAGCCTCAAGAACCAGTACGTGGAGCACCCACCTGTAACCACAAATTGTCCGGCATGTCGTCTGGATTCATGTGCGGCGATATATCGACCCCAGTTACCTTTTGACGACTGATGGTCAGTGGGCTTGTGATGAAGCAAAAGGCCTTTCAGTTTTTCACCTCGCAATATGGATATCGCTCAGCAGCTTCGACAGCCCATGATCCCGCACCGTATCCGCAGTCAAGCACTCTTCGCGGCCGAGAGACCGGTGGAAAAATAAGTCGGTCGTCAAACACCCTTTGGAAAACGCGATGTTGGATCTCGAGACGCTCTGCTTCTTCCTGTCAAGCAGATTATTGTCAGCAGAGAGCTATAATCGACCGGATGCTGTCATACCTCATCAACAGGGACAAAAGATATGCGGTGATCGATCGAATATTTCTGGTACTGGCGATCTTGGACAGTTATGGTCTCCAACAGTTGCTGGTCCAGAGATTCGGTTTGCGAATCTGGGCTCCTTGATGTCCGCAGTAAAGGTCAGCCAGTCCAGTAGTTTTGTACGAATGCTGAGGTGAGGCCTGGTACGTCATCCTAATTCCTTGGACTTTTGTCTACCTAGGATCGTTTCGGCACGTATATTCTTCACAAACCGGTTCAGGGGCGGCAAGAGAGTATCGTCACGAGTTATACGGTTCGTTTATTGTCACAATTCGTGGACTGGTATACAGTCAAATTATGGTGGAAGCGATCGGCGTGGCATGAAAGATACTTCGGCATTGATGTCAAACAGTATATGTATGGTGTGTGCTTCTTGGAAAGGGCATGGAAGATTACTACGCGAGGCACTGTATTCGTACCAAAATGTACGGACATGGGAAAATCCGCACAATCCCTCTCCGCTCAGCCCGGAGGCGTGGACTGCAAAGGTTCTGCTTGCTTTAAGGGACAGAGCGAATCATTTGCGACGTTTGCCTAAGACACCCCTCCTGAAAGATGGAATACGACAAATGGTAATTACTCCTTGGGCAGCGCCGTGCGGTAACAAAGAAATATGACCGTTCATTTTCCAAGAGGCAAAAAAAAAAAAAAAAAAAAAAAAAAGAACAATTATCTACCTGTTAAACTCGGCATAAGGTCCGGACTTTGGGTCCATATGCCCAAGCCAGATCACAAGGAAAGGAGGGGCCGTTGATGGGTTCCGGAGGGTCACCGGTGCCGACGATTCTAAAACGCAAGGATGGCCGAGGAGTGATTGTTCCTTACGGTGCTGGTATGGCCGAGCTACACGGCTTGGAAAGAGAAATAATGGCAAAGCTAGATTGATATTTCATCAGCACACCATCCTGACCTGAGGGTTTAAGGCGGTTTGGATATGTGAAATTTCAGATGTGCCAATGAATTGATACTGGACTCGCAGCATGTCTAATTACATGGCACCCTGGTCTTATCCGACGGCGGTACCTTAATGGCCACAAGCCCTAAGGGTGTGCACGGCCACAGGCGTTACAGGGGTATTCAGCAAATAATGGACAGCCAGGCCTCGGTCAAATGTTCCTACTGAGATCCAGTGACAAATCCAGCCAATCACAAGAGGGGCCGAAAATAAGACACCAGGGATGGAAACAAAGAGCTATGATTCTGGACTAACGGAAGACAAAAACAGCACCCGAATATGAGCTGCGTGCCCGAAATGGAAGTGGCTGTGTGTTCGAAGCAGACTGAGGGGATATTCCAACATTAGTCATTGTATGGGTCCTTTGCAGATTTATTGCAAACGTCCACTACGTTCTTTCCCTTTAACCATTGGGAAATGACCTCAGCGTTCACATCTTATCTATGAGGAATACTATTGGCAAAACTACCGAACAGCGAAATGACGACATTGGTGTTCAAGTGTAGTGGGGAAGTTGGCTTTGGGGGCGGCCTGAGGATCAGCAGGAGACAAGGGAGCAGGCAGTATGATCTCGCTTCCCAGCAGCCTCGTTACGGACGGTCCCGTTTCCCGGCCTCACCGCTCCTTCCGTTATCGCTTATGCTCTGCCAGCTTGAAACTGAGACTCGTATTGAATGGATTACGATCCATATTACGACGGCGAGCAGTCGTGGATATGCCGCTGTTTTGTCCAAGGGCCAAGCCTGCCTTGGCGTGTGCTCAATGGGTTCGAGCGGCCAACGGTGCACGCAGGGCTCAAGCAATAATGGGATAACAGGCGCCTTCATGGAGCCGTTAGGGAGACCATTGTTTCTGCCCAGTATAGTCATTTATGTTGGTACTATTTCCGTGGAATTTGCCGTTTTCTGTTTGGAGACCCGAAGGATTACGGCAATCACGCATGCTGCATGTGCATTTTCCTTATTCGTCATTCTAAAGTTCTGGTTCGATGCTTTG